TGATCACCTTCACGATCACTCTCTTACAAGGAACACACACACACACACACACACACACACACACAATGAAGTAACCGCCACACTACCAGATCTCATATAACCTTCAGTCAGCCACCATCTGAAAGTTCATGACGACAACAGATGTAAGAGGTGGGCGTGTCTGTAAGCGATTCCAGTTCACAAAAGCTACCACAGACCAAACACAGAACAAGCTCGTCTATAAACAGTGATTATGGCGGACGATGGTGTACAATGAAGGACTAATTCGCCATAATAAAGCTGCAGATTTAGGCTATATCAACAGATTAAGCGCTCGGTACACCCTGGCAAAACTCTGTTCATGTTAAAAGGGTCAAATGATCACCCACACGAAGTACGACTGGGTTGGGTTACGTTAGGTAAGTTGAGAGATAGATAGGGCTCTGTTAATTCAGGGTTAGATTAAGTTAGGTTAGGTGAGAGATAGATAGGGCTCTGTTAATTCAGGGTTAGATTAAGTTAGGTTAGGTGAGAGATAGATAGGGCTCTGTTAATTCAGGGTTAGATTAAGTTAGGTTAGGTGAGAGATAGATAGGGCTCTGTTAATTCAGGGTTAGATTAAGTTAGGTTAGGTGACATAAATTGAGTAACGTAAATTCGGGGTTATGTTAAGGTAGATTAAGTTGTGTTATTGTCAGTAGATGGAGTTAGGGGGAGGCTTAGGTTAAATTAAGTTAGGTGTCTGGTTGAAAGATTAGTGATCCCCACCTCCTACCTACCCCCACCTCCCCTCCTTCCCCCCACCTCCCCTACCCCTCCATCCTTTACTTTAAAAATAACTTCGAAAATTTGTCAAGTCGTACTGATAGTGTACACAAAACTGAGGTTATGTGTACTAGAAAAGACTCTTAATAGGTATACAAAGCAGGACTCAGGTCATGTACGTTGTGTCTGTTTGATCTTTCTGAGGTGGTGAGGGCTGGGGAAGGAGGGGGGGGGGGCTAAGGGCAGGATCACACTGTCTACCCTTTTACAGTCCACAATTGTGAATGGCGACCGTCCACGGGTCCCACCCAGCTGCTCACCTGAAGTTTGCATAATAGTTCTTAGTTAATATTCAAGATGCAGTAAGAGAGACAAAAAAAAGCCAGAAATGATGTATGTATGTAGTTCCTTGGTTGCCACATTGTATGAGTTAAGTGTTGCATCCATCTTAGACTGGTGCATTATTCTTGTTGCTTCTGGGCTAAAATTTATCGATTTTATTATATTTTTAATATTTCGTAGAGTTCCTGTTTCGTCTTTTTGTTTTGGGCATTATTTTATGTCTTATACGTTGGTCATGGTATTGTGGTTCTGTTTCTTTTCTTCCGTCTCCTCTCCACAAGTTTTATCAACCCATTTGCTCTTCCTTGTTCTCGCTGTGGCTTGTACACATTCACGGGTCTGCTGCCCATAATTTACAACATAAACGTGACCCGCCCTTCTCCTCTCACTTCTTTGATCTACGGACGGCCTGACACACACACTCTCTCTCTCTATAAACAAAGCGTATAGAACGTTATATGTATGTCTGAGTAATCAACAGCTTAGTATCTGGCCCATAATATTTTACCTCGAAGACTCAGTGTAGTCTTCCCTATACTAACACATGCATGGGATGGGTCCCTAGGAACAGAAACTCTGAGAATGTGAGGAAATGTAAGGGGAGACTAGTGTAGGCCAGGGGTAGGAAGTGACAGGGATGGGCTTAAAATATAAGTAGGAACGCTACACAAACACTCACTGACACATCCTCGTATTCTCAATTGCATACAAAGTAACCAGCACGAATTCTTAATTTCTACATTTGTTATTTTGCTGTATTTTACTACATTGTATGCATACAAATTTGAGTTGTCAGGGTCGTGTAGCAACCATGAAAACTTGTTTCGTTAAAGAAGATTGTCGCGTGATCCCAAGACATTAAAAACTTTAATATATCGAAGTTTGGTCCGTCAAAGATTCAATTATTAAAGCATAAGATATCACAGCCTCGACCTTCTCTCCTGGGTGTGTGTAAACCTCACTCAACCTCTGATATCTTATCAGCCAAAGAACAGTCCAGGGCACTCTAGCCTAACAAGGTGTATTAATAAAATCTTGATAAAGCGGGAACCAGAGCTCGAGCCATTAAACGTAACGGGACATCCTGCGTCGGACTGTCGACTTGACCCGACCAGACCTGGAGACGTGGCTGTAATCCTCGAGGACTGCTGACCTGACTTAACACGACCTCCTGCAGCAGTCCAACACTCCCCTGCTTGTACCTCCAACACACCCGTCCTCGTCCCTCCAACACACCCCTACTTCTTCCTCTAATGTCCTCTTCTTGTCCTTTAGACACAATCTTCCCTCATCCCTACATGTCCTTCAGTTGCCACCACTGCTCCTCTCCCTCTCCTCCAACCACCAGAACCCTCCCCCTTCCCTCCGCCATTTGGCCACATACCGTCTTCATCTCCTCCGCCTCCTCCTAATTCCTTCACTCTGCACCTCCTTCTCTCCCTCCCTTTTTAGCCACCCCTTCTCCTCTTCCCTCCATTCACCTGCATCCTCCCTCTCTCTCCACCGCTCCACCCCCCCTCTTCCTCCATTCACTCCCACCACCACTTACCTGGCCACTGTCGCTCACACTCCTACTTTCCCTCCAGTCAAGGACAGTCAGAGGGTGACCGCCTCCCTCTCCCTCTCACCAACACCTGTCTGTCTGTTCACACACGAATATTGTGTTAAATTAGTGTCAGCTTTGCTAGATTGGGGCCTAACAGTGTTAAAATTGTTAAATTAAAAGCATATTAATGATAGATTGGTGTTTGATTATGGGTCTGTTAGTGTCAGGTTTTGTTAAGTTAGGGCCTGTTAGTGTCAAATTGATGTTAAGTTAGGGCCTGTTAGTGACAGAGTAGGTCTGTAATGTTTGATGATCGGCAGATTGCTGGAGCAAATAAAGTCAAACGACGAAGCTGTTGGCGGGTCGTTCGTTAGTGTACAGTGGATTATTTACCCTAACGCCCCTCTCTACTGTGTGACCCTCATCATCCTCATAACTCCAGGTCGTATATAAGTGACACACACAACCGGTTCACCTCATTACCTCTTGCCAGGTCATCTCTTATGGCTCACATGTGACCTCGTGTGTGTATTGCTCATGTAATTCACTTTTAGGTGACCTCTTGACCTTTTACGAGCCCTATGGTTCATTTACAGGTGACCTTTTATGGCTCACAAGGCTCATTTGCATATGACCTCTTGACCTCTAAGGTAACACAGCTAGCTCACTCAAGTAAACAAAACTAATTCACAAAAATTACAGTTCAGGTAGAAAATAGACAAAATATCAGATATTTCTCTTGTCCTGTTAACTGATCAAACAGGTCGCAGTCCTAACCTAACCATTAACATTTTGGCCGTGTCCTGATGGTTCCCGTACTAATTGTTACATTGGGATGGGGCCTATTAGAACTGGTGCCTATTTGTCTTGCATCTGACTGGTGATAAAAACTACCTGGTAAGTGTGGTAGCTGGTGGCCGTGAGAGCAGGTATGAGTCTCAGTCACACGGTTTTAGGAATCACAGGTACGAGAAAATATGAGGTCACGCACAGCAGAAAACTTGACCTGACCTGATCAATGAGAGAAGGGGGTGATGGTGAGGGAGATTGGACGGGAAATGGTAGGGGTGGTAGCGGGGGGTGGTGGTGAGGGAGAATGGAGGTGAGGGTTGATGGGGTTGAGGGTGAATGGAGAAGGGATGGTGGAGGTGAGAGAGAGGTAGTGGGCCCGTCACCAAAAGTAAGACGGGTGTCATTAAGTGCAGTCAGGTAGACGCTGATTAACCCACAATCAAATGAAGGAAGAACAGGGGAACGTGGGAGGGAAGGAAGGGAACAGGTGGAGGACTAGAATAATGATAATGTGGGAAGGGGTGAGGGAAGATGGTGGAGGTGATGAAGAAGGGAAGAGGGTGAGGAGGGGGGGGGGGTGGAGGAGAATTACAAGCTTGAGGGGTCATGGCCCAGATGCCAGCCCCTTGACCTTTCACGCTACCGTTCCCCGCACAGTCACCTTCCCCCCCCCCATTCTGGGTCGTGGGGGATGCCTTACAGGTGAACCAGGAAGCGAAGTCCCCCCACCTGGTCACTACGGCACCCAAGGTCTATCTCCTCGCCTCCCTAATCAACCAGTGAAAATTACTTTATTAATTTCGTCCCTAAAATTTACGTAATATAAACTGTCTTCCTGTTCCTTGGATCAGTTTTTAATATGCCATGGCTCATGACTTAGTTCATTATTTACATATAACTTACCTGCATAGTCATTTACCATTTAAGTATATATTTACGAATTAACTGTACAATATATAAATTTACTGATTATTTATGCATCATAGTTCATTAAAGCCAGTCACCTGTAACAGCTGTGAACACATATCATTCAATAATAAAAACTTCAATTTTATCTCTAAATGTCTTGAAATGCGAGACATTCAAACACATTTCTAACGACGATAACAGCAACAGTGTTTAAGGTATTGTTATTAAATTAGTTTATCAACAACTCAGACGAGGGACGAGTCGGTGGTCACACGTTTACCTCATTCACCTTTCCACCAAATGTGATTTAGATTATCCAGTGCCATAATTTATCTTTAAGGTCAAATACACATAGACGCTTTAAGAAACAGTGAGACGTAACACACAAACGTCAGGAAGACAAGTCAGGAAGGCGACATTAGATGAATATTGACGCCAGAAAAAGGTGAGAAGTTTGCAGCATTGTTTGGAAGTGAGGTGGAGAAAGTCAGGCATGTGCGGGGAGACACAAGGATGGCAGGCCAGAAGAATGACGAGAATGACTCAGGGTGAGAGATGGATGGCAGGACAGAAGAGTATCAGCAGCGACTCATAATTTTAATACCGTCGTCAAGCTGAGTGTCGAGCGTGAAGTAGGTGATGTTAACAAATGGTGGGAAGTACTTACCAACAAGGCCTGTCAGCCACAGTCGCCGTAACAACATGGTCACCTGTAACAGGGAAAGAGTGTTAATATCATAATACTAATTGATAGACACACACACACACACACACACACACACACCTGTATGTATTATAACTCTGAATACGTTTCCTGACCTCGTACCTGATAGATCATTGAGGTAAGAGAAGGCTGGGTAGACAAGTTGACTAGATATTAAATTAAAGAGTAAAGCAATAAAAAATAGCTACAAATATTATAAAACAAAATGGTGTTTATAATGTTAGAGTAAATTATTTCCTAACAATATCAGTAATAATCTGAGTGGGTGGTGAGCAGAACGGTCTTAGCTGCTGCCTCGTGTGTAAATAATATCAACTTATACGAAGATGCACTCACGCTTTTCTATTGTTTTCGATGAGTCACAAGGGCGGGAACATCCGATTACCACTGCAGAGAAAACCTTATTTGTTCCGCCACTATTTCTATATGTCAGTAGTCTCTCAGATTTGTACAGTGACAAGTAAATATGTTGCAGCTATGTTAAGGTGAGGAAGGTAAACAGCACCCTGAGGCGACGTAAACAACACCCTGAGGCGACGTAAACAAACAACCTTATCTTTATAATCCTCCACACGGAAGAGAAAGTATAAAATCGATAATCTTTAGAGAAAAAAACACACACACACACACACACACAGATGGGACCGCTCGGCTTCCCCATGCTTATCAATGATGCTCTAAGAGAAACCCCTGCCCGCTGGAAATATGTCGACGACTCCACCATTGGGATCAGTGTCAATCACTCGGCTCCCGACTACGCCGCCCTCTACGATTTGTTGAACAGTCTCCAAAATTGGGCCACCAACAAATATGTCACCATCAATCATACCAAGACCATGGTTATGCACATCAACCTCTCCTCTGACCTTGTCCCACCTCCCTTCATTACTTTGGGCGCCAACACACTCCAGGTTGTGGACTCCTCCAAGCTCCTCGGCGTCACTATAGATAACAAACTAAATAGGAAAACGCATGTCAGTACAATTGTCAAATCCTCCAGTTTTCGTCTCCACCTCCTCGGCCAACTCAAGTCCCTCGGAGTTCCTGCCCCCGAGCTCCTTAGTGTTTACTAAGCATTCATACTTCCCAAGCTCACCTTTGCCTCCCCTGCCTGGTCTTCCTCCCTAAATACCACAAAACGTAAACACCTAGAAAAAGTGCAAAAGAGGGCATGCAAGATTATTCTCTCCCTTTCCTACTCCACATATCAAGAAGTGCTCAACACACTGACCCTTTCGGCTCTCTCTAACCATCACCACGACCTCATCTGCAAATTTGGCGAGAAGCTTCTACACCAACCTCGAAACCGGCTCCTACTTCCACCAGAGATCCCTCGTCCGCGAATTGCTGTTCGACACCACAACCGCATCCAGCCCATACGAACACGTACTGATCTCTCTAAGAACAGTCCAGTCCCAACCATTGTAAAAATTATCAACTCGTAATTAATCAACCAGTGTGTTTACTCCCAGCTAATCTTCCCTTTTTGCACTGTCACTATGTTGAAATACCCTGTAGTATAACCTTTTCCCCACCTAGTTATTATATATCATATTTGTTTCACTTATGTTACTTGTATATTATTTGTCAATCAAGTGACCCATTCCCCAATCATGTAAATGTATATTTTCAGCCTTCTGGCTGCCATGCTCTTCAGTAAACAGTTAAATATTATTATTTGTATTATTATTATTATTAGTAGTAGTAGTAGTAGTATTACACACAACGTATCATTGAACACGCACGCTTTCGACTATCAATCGTAAGTCTTTAACACTAGGAAATTATTTAAATATCGTTTAGGCTTCTCATCTCCCTCAAGATGGTGAAAATTCTCGCCATCGCTTTGACAGAACTTGAACTGAATCAAACAGAAAAAATTGTGTTTCAATCGAATACGTGCCATAGCCTCTTTATATTCAAGCTACAAATCTTGCAAAATATTAAGAACTAGTTTAGCTGAAGTGAAAGGAGGATTTAAAGTCAGCTGGTACAAAGAGGTCTTGGATACTGAGGGGTTGCAGGACACTGTAGTGAGGTGTGAGGACCCCGGGTGTAGTGTCCGCCCTCACAGGAGAACACCCACTTAGCAACAAAAATAATGGCGAAAATACCATTACAACAACAACAGTAAGAGCAGTTCTGACAGCACCAGCAGCAGATCCTGTGGGCCAAGTACGTAACCAGCATAAAGCCGGGGCGGGACCCCGTCAGCACAACTAGCCACGGTAAGGTCACGAGCTGCCCTAGTGACGAGAGAGTGGAAGGAGTGACCTTTTTACCCGTCTAGGTCGGAGGTCATGGCACAGATGCTTCACTGGTATCATTGCTTTCCCGAGTCTGAGGTGCCATCATTGTTAATCCTTCACTCTTATTCTCTGCACGTGCAAGCCGCACTGACCAGGGTACACTCCCAAACAATGTTTTTATTCAGTGACATAAAAGAGGTGAAGAAAAACTAGACCCCAACTGGTGCAACCGGCGAGACAAGTGGTGGACGAAATAATGTTGCAGCATTGTCCACTGGCCTTCACTTCTCCAAAAGTCACAACCTTGAACACCTCCTCCTACCATGCCCAGGATACCACACCTTAGTTTATAAATCCCCAGTGTGTAGGTCGAACCAGTTTTCCTGTCAACTTCATCTTGTTTTATCGAGATGTTTGTGACGTCATTGGGTGTAGCGGGAGCATAAAGGATCACCCGCTGAGTTTTATGGAACAGTTTAGGTAAAATACGTCTATAGGCTCCCCAACGACCGACCCGTAGACTGAGCCAACGGCCGACCCGTAGACTGAGCCAACGGCCGACCCGTAGACTGAGCCAACGGCCGACCCGTAGACGAGCCAACGAACCGACCCGTAGACTGAGCCAACGGCCGACCCGTAGACTGAGCCAACGGCCGACCCGTAGACTGAGCCAACGGCCGACCCGTAGACTGAGCCAACGGCCGACCCGTAGACTGAGCCAACGACCGACCCGTAGACTGAGCCAACGACCGACCCGTAGGCTGAGCCAACGACACCTTCGTGGTGTACAGTATATTAAAATACTCTTTTTCCTTCTTTATTTTTTCTTCCCTCAGCCTCTATCCTAATCTATCCTAACAATTAGGACTGGGCCGGTGTAGTGTTCATGGTTTTCAATCCCAATCAAGCTGATTACTAATAGAACCCAGATTAGTATAACCCCAAGCCTAACCGTTACGACTGAGACTCAGTCCTAGCGGTGATCGACTATCAGGACTCGAGGTCACCGGGCCACCGTTAACAGTAAAACATGAGACGCTGGGTGTTTGTGTAGGCGTTTTATAGTTCAGTGTAGAAGACTTCCTGAAGAAAAGTGTAGTCAGGTCAGATGGTGAAGTGCTGTAAACCGCTGCACTGTTACACTTCATATGTGGAGTTTCTCTCAACCACAACCGGTAGAGACGTGTTGCGGATAACTGTGGTGGGGTTTATCGACCCATCGTTATCTTCAACAGCTTGTTGCTCTTACCTCAACGTCAGTCTAGCGTCAACTACTTATAAGTGTTCCTCACACCACCATCTAGCCCATCACCACCCACTTGTAACTGCATTTCCCGGGTACTCGGAGTGCAGCGTGAACACTTTAACTGTTGAAGTTCTCCGTAAAGGTTTTAAATCTAGTAATAATAAATGACTCGCTTCATCTACCGTTCTTGAGTGGAGGGTCGAGGAGTGACGTGTTCTAACAAGAGTTGCACCAAGATGTTTATAAAATTAAAAGAAGAATTTACTCCTGGTACAATAGACATCGTTCGTGAAAGGAATATAACTAATTGTAACTAAAAAATTCTTATTCTTTCTTATCCTGATACATCAGCGAACACTTCCATTGCACTGTTCTTCGTCTCGTCTTTTGTCTGGCCGTGTTGAGTGTTCACGGTGCTTACTGTTCCGTCATTCACACTTCATGAGCATTTGTATTTAGTTGATATACAGAATGTATGTGTACGGCCAAAGTTACTTTAAATCGAATTTTAGGTACCGCTGCTGTCTAAGCCAAATACGAAGATAACTCGTAGGGTCGTGATGGTGAAAAGTGAATAGTGTAAGACGCCAGCGGCCTCGTGGAGGTGCTGGGTCAAGGCATCAGGTCAGAGGTCGTCACCCCACAATTGTGCTATTGTCGTCATGATGCAACCGTCAACTATATATCTTTGGGTCGTGATGCCCTTACTACCCTCAAGACGATCTTCATTCGCTCACGTTGGTGTTAATTCTGGCGGTAAAGTGTGGGAAATTTTTCTGTATTAGAAAGTAAAGAGACTTAGGTTGAGTGGCACTCAATGATTGAGTGGCACTCAATGAGTGAGTGGCACTCAATTGTTGAGTGACACTTATGGGTGGAGTGGCACTCAACAAGTGTAATTACCCTTTAGTGTTGGGTGTGGCACTCATCAGTCATTGGTAAGTGTGGCACTTATTGTGGCTGTCAAATCTAGGACCGCCATTGTTGACACACCAGTAGAGTAACACCCGGGAGTGAGCCGTGTCTGGTGCTTCTCAGCCATGACCTGTGTAGTGTCCCGGTACACAGCCTAAGACAACACTGTACTGGGTGTTGATTACTGATGGACAACACTGAAGTGACCCGCCACACAACCACCTTACTCCTTCGTCAATTGTTAGATGTGTCGTCATCACCGAGTTGATTATGCACTTACTGGTGACAATGCCACTTACCGGTGACACTGCCACTTACTGGTGACAATGCCACTTACTGGTGACACTGCCACTTATTGGTGACACTGCCACTTACTGGTGACACTGCCACTTATTGGTGACACTGCCACTTACCGGTGACACTGCCACTTACTGGTGACACTCACATATTGGTGACGATGACACTTGTCAACGAGGTTTTAATTATTAGAGAAATGGCACCGTAGTTGTTGGTGAGTTTACAAAAACTGATGAGGATGACAGTGATTGCTGACCACGGCAGTTATCGCTGTGTTGTGGTCGTTATGAGTGGTCCTTCATGTATAAACACTCCCTATCATCCTCTACAAGGTAACTGTGCACTTAGACACTTGATAACCAGTAATTATCTTTCATATTTAAGTTAAGAAAAAATATATCGTGTGAGATTTTATTTCACGTTAAAGGAAGAAACAAACTTTATAAGTGTTAAATCATAAAATTAACATAAATATAAGCAGGCAAAGTTCGCATGTAAGACGTATTGACACACACACACACACACACACACACACTTCTCCTCCAGCTCCTGTCAATGGCCTGAATTAACCTGGGGATAGGGATAAGGCTGAGTGGTGGGTGAGGGGTAAGGATAATGGTGTGGGTGGGGCTGGAGAGAAGGGTGGGCGTCAATGGTCTATAAAAACAGTAATGTTAAACAAATGTCAGTGTCAACATAAGAACGGGTCACTGTGAGGCCGGATAGACACTGCCCATCCGTTTAAATCTGGGTCCTGTTCTAGTGTACTCCGGTTTTACTGGGTCCCAATTCTAATAGCCCCCAGTTTTAATGCCCCAGTTATAATAGGCCCCGGTCTTTATAGATTCCAGTGTCAATGGGCTCAGTTCTAATGGACCCGAGCCCTAATGAGACCCAATTCTAATAGTTTGGTTAAGCTTGTACCTATTAGGACTAGGGGTTATGAGACCTGAAACCATCGCGGAGGTGTTTACAACAATCCGGTCAAATGCAGGAGTGACTCATCAGCGGCTGTTATACTAGTCGGAGGCCCTCAGAGGTGTGTGACGCCATGTTGATAAGGTTTTGAGTCACTTTGATGATATTTTATACGGTAATGACGATCTTTGTGTGTGTGTGTGTGTGTGTGTGTGTGTGGGCCCTGATCTCTTTCACTCTTCTCTCATGATCGTCCCCCAGACCTCACCGACAGGAACCCCTCAAAGTATTAGTACTAACTTTCATCTGTTACTTTTCTCGGTATTTATTATTGGCAACATCTTGATCCTAGTGCATTAAGAATATGGACAGCACATATGAAACCATGCGGACGACAGATTAACGTTTGAGGGACGTCAAGACAAACATCAGCCAGATAAAGATTTAATGTAAAGGATACAGAACTCAGATAATATTTGTTACAAACCCTCCAGACTAAACAGTTAACACAAGTATTGGAAGACGGAGGTGCAAGGGGACGACTGCAGCTAACGTGTGGTGTGAGGAGAAGGGATGTGATAACCCGTTTTTACACCAGTGTGAACGGCCTCTGAATTACACCCTCCCTCTCCTCCCCCACTCTTTTTACACCCAATTTGATATATTAATTGTCTAGGATGTGACGAAATTAACACAGTGCTGGTAACAATAAGAAAAAAAGACAAAAAAAATCTCAAACCTATTTAGTCCAAAACGTTTAGGTCCGCAGACATTGCGCCCAGTCGACTGGATTTAACCAGTTGAGAGCCTGACAGGTTCGGTAGCGGTGGTTTCTCTGTGTAAGGTTCACCTATATTACCACCGCCCACGTATGTTTGAGATGTTTTTGGTAATTTTGTTATTATTAGTTGGTGCTCGTCTCGATATATGCAGCATGATAAATATGGAAGAAATGCTTATTATACAGTATGCTCTTAGATAAGACGAGAAATCTGTTGAAAGGAGGATGTGAGAATGTAGAGGTGACGGGGATCTGGATGCTAAGTGACAGAAAGCCAAGTGTAGAGAACAGGGGAAGGCATCACAGGTCCACCTTGGCCACGTAAACACACAAGAACCCCTTAAAATTAGTGGTCGTGAAAGATGAGTAACTCCTCGGCCTACTGGACAAAACCTCGAGAAATAATTAAGCATTTAGTGGGAGGAATCAAACACAAAAAAGTTAACAGACGACAAACACCAGACACAGACGGAATGAGTAGTGCCCCCGAACCCTCTGACCGTTGAGGGGCAAAAAGTTAAGACAAGGAGCAGTAATGGTGAAGGAACACGCAGCCTTACAACACAGCCTTGGCCGCCTTCATGCTTTTGTAACGTCTGAGTGACGTCGGGGTGTGAGTGGCGCTCGGGAGCACCTGCTGAGGGACTCCCGCCTCAGGTCACTCACATCCCTTCTTCCCTCTTCCTTATGACGTGGCCCGGGGAGAGGGGGGAGGGAGTGGTGAGAGAAGGGGACAAGAATGTGAGAAATAAGAAAGGGTAAAGGGAAACAAGAGATAAGAGAGGGTAAGGGTAAACGAGAGAATGAACGACTCTAGGGAGACAGACAAGTGGAGAGGGGACGATGAGAACCAGGTTGAGGAGTGTAAGAAAGAGTTAGGATGTTGACTAAGGAAGAGGAGTGTTTAACGTTGACGTGAGGAAGTCAACAGTGTATCTTCCTCTTCTTTGTTAATATATTACGTCATTAAAGGGTCAGGGGTGCTGGTGGTAGAGTGGTACCGCTCTTGCCTTCGCAAGCGAGATGTCACGGGTTCGATTCCCGGGCCGGAGAAGTTGTTTGGACACACTTCCTAGCCCCCATTAGTCCCTGTTCACCTAGCAGTAAAGTAGGTACCTGTTGTAAGTCGAAAGTTGCGAATTCGTATTCAGGGACAAGTTGTTGGAGCTTCCAATAACTTGATGACACAAACCACTGACTCTTCAGGCTTCTATGCCCTTGACTCTTCAGGCTTCTACGCCCTTAACTCATGAGACATAAAGGCAAGCATGAACTTAGCATGTTTCCCTGTTGGGCACTGTAAACGCTTCTGCGCTTCACCTTACACAAGGATGTAGGGGAGTGCCCAATAAATAATTTAAAAAAAAAAAAATTAAAGGGTCACTTTCTGTTAAATCAGTATAGAGTGTTGGTCCTGACGGTAGTGTGGACAAGTCCTCCCGTGCGTGTTAATAGTATATTCATACTGCCTCATCGAATCCCTACCAGCACACACACACACACACACACGCTGCTTGGGGAACTATTCACTTCATCCACGAGTAAAGAGTGACTGTCTATTCCTCCGATGTAGTTTAATCAGTCTCTTCTTTGATACCGAATAAAGAGGGAGTTGATCGAATTTATGGCTTCGAGTCCTCCTGAGGCAGCCATGAGTGGCAGAAAACATGGGCCACAGTACACCACCATAACTTCGGACACACGTGATAAACAATGAATCGGTCCACAATCACGTCTTGAATTTAAACTGTCGACGGTGAGGAGAAAACTTACATAATCATTGACTTTTTTGTTACCAGGGAGGACTTGTTATTGTTCGGGAAAAAGTGTACCTAGTAGCCAACCGTTCTTACCTAGTAGCCAACCGTTCTTTGTGATGCCAGTTTTTTATATAAGTAACTGTGATTTTAATATTAGTAGTCTAGAGATTTTAAAATTTAATTTATTGGTTAAGTCAATTCAGATATGAGAGACAGATTGTATACGCTGAGAAATAGACACACACACTGGCTTTGCGTCGAACAGAGTACCAATATTAATTAAATACAGTATACTGCAATGAGACAACTTGACCACTGAATAGGCTTGAACCCCATCATGGTGAGTGAGTGTGTGAATGTCAACAACGCAGCCTGCTGTATAAACTTCGCCGTGGAAGGTGACTGAACCCCACGATGGTTACGGGCTGTGAGAACCTTAGTATGAAGGGTGACTGGGAGCCCCGTCATGGTTACGACACTCCCTGACACGAACTTGATCCACATACAACCAAGAGGTTCAGTTGCTGGCTACCACTCACATAACTCTGCAACACACCAGTGTGAGCCTCAAATGTTTATTAAACCTCTGGCCGTCGTTCGGTCATTCGCATTTAACTTAATTGTATTTAAAATTCACTAAGACGATATTAATTTTATTATACAAACCGAGTGAGTATAGCGGAAAAAATAGGGGAGGTGTGGGTGGCAAGAGCGGGGTCACCCGTGTGTGAAAGGGAGAGTGCAGTAGTTGGTCTGACTAGCGCCGCTCACTATACTATCTCTCGGGTTATCAACTTTTTCTGGGCAGCCAAAACTTTATGGAAACCAAATAAAGGTGAAATGGATGTTTAGTGTACGCAGATATTTGAGATACGTATGAACAAGTATTCCTGCACGAAAACTGAAGAAAAAGAGAGGAAATAAATATATGCGGTATGTTAACCTCTCCGTTCAAACGTATTTCAATCAATTTCCTTGGCTAGTTTGTTGGAGATACTAAGTGGCCACTGTCAACAGTCATGTCAGAGAGTCATGTAACTGCATGTTCAATATTGTATAATTTGGACATGACGCGGACTTCTACATATAATCAACAACCTCACCCCACCAGGACTCGAACCCACGATCTTATGTGTGTGACCTGGGAACGTTACCTCTTACACCACTAAGAGGCACGGGCAATTTCCTTGGAGGTTCACGGCGCCATAAGCTCGACGAACAGGCCTTGTGTGAAACATAACAAAGTCTAGAATTGCTTTTAGTGTCCTAGTGGTATAAGAGGTAACGTTCCCTGCTCACACACATAAGATCGTGGGTTCGAGTCCTGCCGGGGTGAGGTTGTTGATTATATGTAGAAGTCCGTGTGCATTATGGGCATTTCGGAAGTCATCAGACCCATCCTGGTGGATAATTTTTGGAGACACTGTACCTGACTAGAGGACGTAGGTCAGTGAAGGTCCATGGAGGGAGGATGGGAGACCCAGGTGCTGTTCACTGCCCCCTGAGCTCCACACATTATTCTGATTTCACTTTCACGGGTTTTTTTCGATTCGTTGGCTGCCTGGATACGCTTCTTGGCGACACTTACTACCGCAAGCAGTAGATTATAAGAACTGCTCTTGTGAATTGTAAAATTCAAGTTAGTCAAGAGTCTTCGCGACTAAAGAAACAGCTCTCTCCAGGGGCAGTAGCTAGCGGTAGTAATGACATACATCAATGTACACTTGAAAACTGCACTAGCATTCATTCAAGTTAATATTGGTTTTAGATGAAGTAATGGGAGGCTGCGATAAATAGCCAATATGTGTGAATAGATATGAAAAAAGACAAGAGTTGAAACATCAGAATCACGGTATGTAGCACAGAGCCACACCCCGAGCAGCGAGAGCCCTCGTGTAATCCTAGAAAGTTGGCGCCGCTCACAAGTAAACAAGCAGACAAGTGCAAGTCTCCAGGCGTGTTGTGTCGTTGTCAGACATTAACAACCAAATGCTGTATACAAACAGTACGCCCCCTGAGATACTCTTTAACACTGTGTCGCGCTAATTAATATTTTCGAAAGTATCTTGTAAGCTAAATACCCGGTGCGGCTTATACAAATTTATCGATAAATGTCGGGAAAGTTTGAGAAAGCTGAGACCTCCTCTTGAGGTCAGTGTAACACAACGCAACCTACGAGACATAAAAAATACCCAGGAGATTTCACGGTCAAGACTCACTCTTAATCAGATTATAAGTGGAAATTTTCGGATGAAAGTCGTTCCGAAACAGAGAAGAGTTCTTTACACCACCCGTTGGCAGACATGTGACGTTGATGTAAGTTCCTCGTTACCCATGGTTCAGCCGAGTGGTGGATTGGATGGAGCACCATACCTGCTTCTCATCCTCCCCAGCCTTCCTTGTTTAAGATTTTTGCGAGAAGGTCTCAAGGACACCCGGAGAACACAAAAGAATGTTAAGTCCTCTGTAGCGTAACGCTAATTACTAACTTGACTCGACGCGCCCTTGGAGGAAGTATATTCATGCACAGTAAATACAAGTTCACAAGAAGCGGGAAAAGTGCAAAGTTTTATACGCAGACAACGAAAATAACAGCGAGACAGACAAACATTATACCACCAGTCAAGGCTGGGTGCCGTGTTAACGTTGTCTGGAAAATACTAATAAGTCTGAAACTGTCCGTGAGACAATGGGATATGGACAGAAACCCCACCGGACAAAACCCCACCGGACAAAACCCCACCGGACAAAATCCCCTAGGACAAGAACCCCACTTTGATATTAGATCTTACCATTACTGTCCTCACTTGTTGAGACCTCAGGGGACCCGTTAGGTTAGGTTGCAATAAGAGATATTTTCAGTGGTTTTGTAAGAAATTAATAAAAACTCCAAATAGATTTTGTCTTATTTTTTTAACCTGAGGTAAATGTTGATGTTTATATAGTTTTAGTTTATTCTTTATCAGGTAAATTACATTTCATAATGTTGGCTATTAAAAACTATAAATAGATTTTGTTTTAGCATTTACTGTGAGGGGATTTTGTCCATTGTGGGTTTTTGTCCAGTAGAGGTGGGGTTTTTGTCCAGTAGAGGTGGAGTTTTTGTCTGGTGGGGATTTTGTCCTGGGGTTTTTGTCCGGTGGGTTTTTTGTCATGGACCCGTGAGGCAATATATACACCTTCGATATAAACACGTAATAACGGTGGAGCAGCATCTGTATGAGTGTTTGTTTGTATCTACTTTTGTGTGGATTAAAACAAGAAAAATGGAAACCACAAGAAAGGGACTAATGCCTGGAGAAAGTGAAACAAAAGTGGATAAAGCTGTAGATCGACTCAACATACACACTCCCTCAAATCCTCAACTTGCACATAAAGTATTTCATTGTTATTATACATCCCCGCAAAAAATTCTACCGTGATATTGAGTAGTTCTGTCTGTGTCTGTCACGCAATTTTACTGTGTATTTATTTACTTGGAATTTGTCTTGATATTATGTAGTGTTTTTCTCTTTAATTTTTTGTATTGATTCTTTAATTGTATTATTTTATTTCAATGGGACTAACTCTCCAATGAAATTATAACCTGGAGTTTAAAAGGACTCATCCGCCCGCCTTAATAATAAATAATATCAGAAGATCTAGAAATTGAGGTCAGACTGATAATGTTTGTACCTGACAGAAGGTTCTCTCGTCCATGAAGCTCTGAAGCGAACACTGTCCTCGAGGGCCACAAGTTGTTTGTTTTTAGATTAATTTGTTTTCGTACATAGACCAAGACACCATTTTTACTCTAATAAATAAAGGAATATAAAAAAATACATCTATACTGTTTTTCCTGGTAATAATTTGTTAATTTTAATTCTTACTTCAGCATTGTACAAGTTTTATAAAGACTGAAAAGTGTGCGACAAAGGTGTTAAAACGCATAAAACTTACTTTAAAAAAATCGTAATGCTAAGAGTGTGAATGGTGAGATAAGAATGCAAAATCCTTACCGTGATTTTCATGTATTTTTCGAGGTTATGATCGTACAGTACATGGAAGCTACGTGGGAGTAACAGTCTCAAGTTAATTTTGTTACCGTATCACAGCGGTCGACGTATATATGGCGGTCTCAAGTATATGACCGTAAATTATTGATTGTTATAGAGATTATTTTTCTTAAAACAGTGACTTAGTATTTATGAAATATATTGTCGTGTAAGAATATATACACACACACTTAGAGTATACGCCTTGGTGAATATACCGAGTGAGTAAATATATACATGTGTGCGTCTCCTTGTCCTCCCAGGTACAGATGGTGTTGTCCGTCATGGTCACTCCACCCCGTCGCCGTGAGTGGTAATTGACGAAAACGTACTGTACTGTATGCCACCAAGACTATCTCGACTAGATCTTTTTAGCAAGTTACCTTGTATCTGAAATTTAAGTGTTCTAACTGAGCACGATCAGATAATACGACGGTTATCTGCACGCCCTTCAGAAAGTTTAAGCTTGGGGAGAGTGCACACACACACAAACACACGCACACACACTCTCTCCATCCAAAACACCTCTCACCACATGTCAACAGCATCATGCACGTGCATCTTAATGTACAAAGTTATCAAGGCCTTTCCCATGGCCGAGTTCTCAAAGGGTCTAGAAGTCGCTTTCCACCCGACCACTGCAAACCTGGTCTTTGTTATCGAGTCTAGGGACCAGATTCAGAAACACTAAGTTTATTTTGATACCGAGCTGTTCCTCAATTGCGGTATATCCTCGCTGTAATTTCAATGCCATTTTGGACATTATTTTTGTCCCCAGGAAAGTCAGCTAGTTAGGGGCGTTCTTATTCATCCAGTTAAAAAGAGAAATTTGAAGTACGAACCTTACACCGGCCCAGGATGTCTGAAATGTTCTCATCGGTGACTCAACGCACTGTAACTCCTCAGGTGTGTTTATCAACAACAGAACATTTACTGAATATTGTATGAGACTGAATTGTTGTCTAAGCCTGTGACAGACAGGTATGAGTACTGGCTGATCCTCCTACATTGTCATCGGTGATTGATTAAATGGTTCTAAGTTTAATCCAGCCATTAGAATTGGTACCCGTTAGAACTCCGCCCCATTCCTAATTGTAAGACTAAGTAAGGCTGAGTTGGAGCCCATTTGACCTGCAGCCCACCCTTGCCACCTTCGTTAATATTATGAGTAAGCTGCTTGCTCTGTTTTGACGGATTTCTTTACCACAGTAGAGCAAAAGAAATGTGGTATGTAGTGGAACAGCGAGTGTGTCGGTGCTGTGTGGTGGCTAACTGGGGACGGCCCTCTATGTTGTGATGTCATTAGGTATTGGGAAAAATTGATTATAAAACAATCTACGGATACAAATAAACACATACATATATAAACACTTCGTTGAAATTTAAAACACAGCCAAAAACGTTACAAGTAGCAAACTTTCACGATAATGACCACAATAAAGTGGATCACTGCCGTACAAGTTGGCCTCCACAACCTGGAAAAGCCTCACATATGGTACAAACAGTTAAATATCTACCCAGGCATCCAGTGGAGCGGCCCGCACCACTGCCATCTGATGGAGAAATTAACCTCAATATTCTAAGTTTCACGGTTTTCTCGGCTCCAGTGACGGAGAAATTTCCCGCACGGAGTAACCACGACTGCTGCTCCAGGTGTGTTGCTCAGAGGCGCCCGGCGGAGGGCTTTAGCTGTTAGTTAAAGTTTGGTGCAAGGTTTGGGGAACCTGCTAATTTTGGGAAATCGGTCTAAGTCTGATTTGTGCAATCAAGAAACTGTATCGAAATGAGGATCATAAAATGTGATGAGTTATATTATAGTTGAAAAGTCGAACAAGTCGAGCCGTATTTCTGAATTTGCCCAACAGCAATTTAATTGTATACTGTGTGTTATAATTAGAAATTTCTACACTGCGCTGCACTCTTCTGGAATTGTCCAGGGCTCCGAGAACCATAATGATCAAAAGCACTAAATTGGTTTCTAGTGTGTAAAACTAGGACATTAATACCTGTGTATGGTATTTAGAATCTTGACATTATAGTTACCAGTAGATGAAGTGACACATTTCCAGGGTCACTGTGAGAGCCAATGATGACAGACAAGGGGCCGAGCAGACCAGTGACTCCAGGACTCAGGAGATGTTTGGGGCAGGAGTCGAGTCGCACTCCCCACCGTCTTGTTACTATATATTCACATCAAAGTAGACGTCTTGGCTCGCCTTTGTTCACTTAGACCTAAATGTATTCGGTAATTTGGGGACTCGTGGAGTACGCCCCTCTGCCCAGTACACCCTGGCCAGACTGAACCCCAACTTAACCTAACCTGAGTGTCATGAACACTCTTGAAGACGGACATTGTTAATCTGACGAGTGCAAGGGCGTTTTTCATTGTTTGTAGAGACTGTAATCATTGTTTCAATATTATTTTTCTTTTTAATGCTTGAGATATCTTCTGTTGTTTCTGGTTTCAGTCTTCCGTCCAAGAGATGATGTCGAATGAACTACAAAACACCACGTTACTTCGACTTCTCAGCGTTATAAGATGTGCCCCACTTGTAGTTTTTTACGACGCAGGTATTTGTAGGTTGCTGAACTCTGGGTAATGAGTTGTCAGTACTGAGTGAGTGATGACGACACACACCGTAGGGGCGGATATTAGCGTGACAAGAAGGACGGAGTGAGTGAAGCGAGATGGTTCTATAGCTACCACTCCGTCCCGTCCCTCACTACCCCCCCCCTGGCCACCCCTTCCCTCACTACCTCTGGCCCTGTCTGCCCCCCCTGGCCACCCCTTCCCTCACTGCCCCTCCCCTTGGCCACCTCGTCCTTCACCACCCTAACCCCTGGTCACATAAACTGGCTGGCCTCGTAATTTCTAGCTGGCCACAGTAATTACCTTGGCACACACAACCCCATAGTCATAAATTAGCCACACCACTATTACATGGCCACACAATTAATGATTAACCACAACAATTAGTTGGCAGCACTAGCACTTTCAGATCACGTAAATAGCGACTGGTGGCCTCACAGTTAATGAGTAGACTTCTCTGAACTATATCACTATATACCCTCACGTACTGTCTTCATAATAACAAAGATAAAACAATATGAAGAAAAAAACAGATTAATGGAAATTCCGGGGGAAAAGAAGGCTGCCGATACGCCAATTTTAAAGAATTCGCTTAGTCTTCCACGAATAATAATAATTGTATTATTATTATTATTATTATCAGTAGTAGTAGTAGTGGTTGAATAACAATATTAGTAACAGCTTAATTAATCCCAAAATGTTAATAGATGACGGAACTACCAATGGCTGAGATCCCACTTTATGTAATCAAACACACGCCGTTGACGACTGTCATTTTCGCTCTTTATACAAATGATCACTCCACACTGTATATAATTTTATAACAACATAACTATAACGCAACCACTCAAAATCTTTTAATTATATTACTAATTTTATATTTACCAAAACTTGGCCACACAGCTACTGCTTGCTCGTACAATCACTGATTGGCCACACATTCACTATTTAGTCGCACGATCACTGCTCTATGTCACTGCTTGGTCACACAACCACGGCTTGGCCGCTACGTACAATTACTTCTTGGCCACACACCCACTGCTTGGCCAAATAATCACTAACTTGGCCACACAAATACTATTTGGCCACACAATCACTACTTGGCCACAAAACCACTAGCTTGGTCACACAACCACTGCTTGGCCACGCTGCCTAGCCACACCAACCACTGCTTAATCAAACAGCCACTAGCTTGGCCACACAACTACCATAATGGCCACACTGCTTAACCACACAACCACTAGCTTGGCCACACAACAACGAGCTTGGCCACACAACCATTATCTTGACTACACAACCACTAGCTTGGCCACACAACCATTATCTTGACCACACAACCAGTCACTTGGCCACACAACCAGTCAGCCATATAAAGACTCACTTGATCTCACAATAATATTTTGGCCATAAAACCACTCATGGTCACATAACCACTAGCTTACCCACTCAACCACTAGCCTGGCCACATCACCTCTAACCTGGCCACGATGGCATTATTGAGTGTGAGGTAGCGGCGGTCCACAACATAAGGGTCAGGCGTGAGTACAATGCGTGCCGTCGCCTAACAGTTGTCATAAGGTGTGGGATTTACTGATAGCATAGATATAGGTTCTAGGTTCCCAAAGATTCGTTCGTGAATTCCCTTCCTTTAATTTGGAACGAGGGAACAAGTCTAGGGAAGGCAGAGTCCCAGTGCAATTCCGATGCCATTTTGGACTTTTTGTATTGTCTGTGTGGTGGTACTTACGTGGGCTAATCATATGCGTTCTTATATCCCCAATTTCGAGGAAAATTTGAACGCATGAGCCTTTGGGAGTCCAAGTTTAGGTTCTGGGGGGGGGGGGGTTAAAGTGTACTGCGCCGACGATCACTTGTCTTATAAAACTGATAAATTTTCTATTTGTAACCTAAGGCGATACTGAGTTAGGTCAAGAAAAGTTTGTTAGTCATTGTACACTCAAATAAACTTTTACACGTCGCATTTAGTGATTTCACATCCACAATTACGACATATGTAGGATACAACACCTTGTTCTTTCATATCACCATTCATAATAAACTGTTTTACTCCAATAATAAAATATAATTGAGAGGGATATCACTTACAGTTAGTAGTGGTCGCAAACACCTCCACCAAGAGGGTAATGCTCACGTTCTCACTTACTGGATGCCAGGGGAACACTCGGCCTCTCCCAGGTGATGTGATCGCCTCAGTTGCCGTTTACTCTCGCCCAGAGTGTCGTACAGAAGGGGGAGGGGGGGTGCGGGCTCCTCTCATATACGTCACATGACCTCCAGTAGGCTATATTGGAAAGGGGGAGAGCGATCATGTATCACTGTATGGCTATCATGTTACCCATAGAAGCAATGACATAACTTTTAGAGAGTGAAAACATGCAGTTCCGTTTATCTCACCGCCCCATAACGTCTCTGCCATATTCATGGTAATCCACTTTTTATACAGTCGTGGTGTTTATTACAGGCAACTAATCTTCATATTATAAAGACATAATGAACTTATACAGGTTTCTGCGTCTGCACCTTGAGTCTGTACAACACTATCATTTAAATACGCCACTAAGTTACCATTGAGTTATTACGGAAGCTACGTGAAAGGTGGAGCTTCAAGGAGAGTTTTTCAGCATCGCATTAGTATGTCTGCTCTTGGGATAGTCAAACTTGTAGTCTAGAGGGTGTTATTTTAATTTCGGTCATCCGGGGAATCTTAGGAGCTGGGAGGCGAAGCCCCCGGTTCGGTAAGGATTCAGTGGTTCTCAACTTAGGGGCCATGGCCCCCAAGGGAGCCACGGCAAGAATTTAGGGGAGCCACGGCGAGCTGTTATAAATTGTACGTTTCCAAATAATGTTGGGAATCTGAATTAAACAAAACTTGTATTACTTATTTTGACTTGGCAGAAGAGAATTTTCATTCTTTTTTTGTCATTTTGTTTAATCATAACGACAATACAATTTTAATATTTACATACTCTGGTGCTAATTTTTTTTTTTTTTTTACGGATTATTTAAGATTTCACAGGTCCAGTCCCTGTCTGTGTGACAGGCGGTGGACCGAGCTGCTGAACTGACTTGTTCAGTACGTGTCCGTGTGTCATCCCTTTGCAAGTGGTGATAAGACCGAATGATCTCAGTCTGGCCTGGGATACCATCACGAAAACAGTGGAGTGTATTGTCTCTGAACCATATATTGTGTTTGAGCTTGACTCAAGCATAATATACTCCATAATTGGTGTTACTTATTCTGTTTCATAATTCATGTGGTCGTTGCTTTACGTGGGTGAAATATTTGTCCACTTCCTTTATTAATTATTTCCTTATTTGTTGGTGCCATTGTTGTTCATACTCATTCTTTACTTATATAATCCCACCATTTTTAGTGCTAAATTGGTATGACTCACTATTCTTCTCATTCTTCCAAGTTGGGCAGTGCATGTCAAAGGAGGCCTGTTCTTGCTTACAGGAAGTACACTTCAGCTTGCTAGCTTGAGTGTGAATGTTTACCTGTGTGCATGTTTGTGTATGACTGTATGTGTGCTTTATGTGTGAGTGCATGGGCGTGTTATGTATGTGAATGTGTGTGTGTGTTTGCCATTCTAACTCTTGTCCTATTTATCTGTCCTTCTTTATCATTCTTTAGTCTTTATCACTTGTCTGTTTGTCTGTTCTGGGAGAAAACTGAAGGAGGCCACGAGGATGTTGAAAATTCCTCAAAGGGGAAATGGAGTGAAAAAGGTTGAGAACCACTGGGTTAGGTTAGGTTAGGTATCTAAATACAGGGATGACCGAAACTATATTCATACCGTATAGAGAACCAAATTTGTGTGGTGTCTGTACACCACCACCACTCACCGTCACCACCACCACCATTTACCGTCACCACCACCACTTATCATCACCACCATTTATCATCACCATCACCAATATTCGCCTCCTCTACCACCATCACAACAACAAATTTATTAATATCCTTTGTATATACACATCAGAAGACTCAGCAGCACATCATAAAAATCATAGTTGAGAAGAATTTTTGCAGGAAGAGACAACCATGAGCTGGGTTTGACTAGGTGGCCGTTCATCCAGCGAGGCAGCCGTCAAGTGGCCGTTCATCCAGCGAGGCAGCCGTCAAGCCACTTTCACCCGCACCTTCACCCTCTCCCTCTCATCGCTCACCTCCCCCCTTCCCTTCACCCACCCCCCTCTTTTCTTCACCCACTCCCTCCCTCTCTTCACCCATCCCCTCACCCCTTCACCCGTACATCCAACACAAGGTAGGAGTAAGGCCTTTATCTCTTCTATCATATCTTATTTAATCTATCTACATCTGTCTATTTTTCTATCATCTTATTTGTTTATAGCCATGATTATAAATATCTTTCATAATACATGTGTGTAATCTCTGGTGTTCATCGTCTTAACTTTGTATGAATCTGTTTATTACCATAAATGTTTACTGTACTGTATATATTCTTTTATCACCATAATTGTGCATATCCCTATGTATCACTGTAATTACCAATATCATTCAATCATCATAATATCAACGCTCCCACTAGTTTATCAGTATACCGTTAGTGGCCGAAGGCTTCTCAAACAGGTAATGAGTAGACGTCTGTTAGAATCTGTTTCATACGTCGCATTTTCTTCAACTGGAGTTACAAAAATGCTTCTAACAGTCTCTCTTAAGGCAAGAGACAAATATAGATTCAAGATAACACGGAGACAATAATATAACTAGATATGTTCCCTTTATACCCCAACTTTGGAGAAAAATACGTAACAATATGTAGAAACGGGAGGAATCCGGAGCGTTTTTATCGGTACAACCTATTTGTGCCAACCCACGATAACAACATTTATTTCCTTTTTCGGCAGATATTAAAGCAGGAAATTGACTCTGTTCTGCGTTGGGGTTAATGCTATATAGATAAAAACAAAGATTAGGCGAATTAAAATCGGAGAAAAAAGAAAATATGCTGTACATACCCGTTGGACCAAAAAAAATGCCCTGCAGTGCAACTGAGGAAGAAGGTATAATTTATACAGTAGAGCTGGTACTTCCCCACCACACATGAAATTAATACAAAACTGAAGTACATATTTCACTATATGAAACGCAAAATTAGTCTCATGAAAGGAGAAAAAAGCCGATTATCATAAGTATGTTTTGAGGCGAAAACAAGTAATTTTTATGTGAACGATAAGTGTGTGGGAACTGTGGGGACAAGCCAGTCGCTTCTAACATGCTACATTGCGAGTAAGATATCTCTCTGGTTGAGATTGGTCAGATTAGGTTGTTAAGTTAGGTTAGGTTAGTACGGGGAAGAATTCAAAAGTTGACGAGGAGTGAGGCGCTCATATGACTGTGTGAGGCTGGCGAACTACTCCCCACCGCCTTAACAGTTACATGTCCTCGCTGTGGGCAAGTCTCCCTCCCACCCGCCTTGTTCTTCCTAGTCTGTCTCCCACCCGCCTTGTTCTTCCTAGTCTTTCTCCAACCCGCCTTGTTCTTCCAAGTCTCTCTCCCATCTACCTTGTTCTTTCTAGTCTCTCCCCAGCAATATATTATCGATTTCTTGTAGTTCTCTAGGTCTCTTATGTTTTTATATACCCCCTTCTGTATATATATATATATATATATATATATATATATATATATATATATATATATATATATATATATATATATATATATATATATATATATATATATATATATATATATATATTCGTGGGACTCACGCAACAGTTTTAAGACGTACAGTATATCTTAATCCAGCAACCACGATAAGGAGCTGCGACCAACCACCACCAAAGCGCTTGTGTCTGCTCCCAGGGGGTTGGGGGGCTTGGTGGGTCTTACCTGTTTCTTCATTGGGGACGGGAGGAGGAGGCCAGACCCACAGGGATCTCGACGCGGCAATAGAAAGTGAGCTTCAGCACCGCTGCCAGACGCAAAGTAAAGTTATTGCCTTGATTTCGTTTATATTATAATTTTCTGTAGCTAAGCTGAAAGTACCTCTAGAAATAAAATTTCCTATGTAGAGACCCTTTTTATTTTTAAAAACTTTGCACATTATATTTTTTACGCTCTTTATTTCCTTTTAGCTACACGAAACTGCCGGCACAGTATCGTGTCTGCTGTCAGGTAAGGTTCTGCATTACTGACGTCGCTGATCACGATGATGATACACACTTTACCCTCTCAATTTAATGAAAATTATCGTATTTCATGGACATCAAGATAATTTTGAAAATAGTTTTAAGTCAATAATAAAAAAATACTCCGCCGTGATGTCTTGTAGACTGACCAAGATTTACAAGTTTTTTTCTTAGTTTGCTCGTGAATTTCTGTAAACTATATTTGCCTTTAAAAATATTGGAAAGGATCACGATTTTTTCTTCAGATAATATTTGACTATGAATTACACTTACGAAAATAAATAGCACCTAGCCATAACTTGTGACTCGGTATATGTGCTCCCATGACAAACTTCTCCATGAAACATGAACATAAGAATGGAGGAAACTGCAGCGGGCCTATTGGCCCATACTGGGCAGTCCCATTTACACCCAGCCCCTATTGCTCATATATCCATCCAACCTAAGTTTGAAGCTATCCAGCGGATTCGAGTTAATGATGATATTTGGTAACTTGTTCCAGTCGTCCACTACTCTATTTCCAAACCAATGTTTACCTATTTCGCGCCTAAATCTAAATTTGTCTAATTTAAAACCATTGTTACGAGTTCGCTCCTGGTTGGAAAGTTCGAGTACCTTTGTAATGTCCCCTTTGTTTAGCCCTGACTTCCATTTATACACCTCGATCATGTCGCCCCTCACTCTACGTCTCTCAAGGGAGTGCAAATTAAGATGCTTTAACCTGTCTCTGTACTCGAGGTTCCTAATGCCCGGTATTAGTCTTGTCATTCTCCTCTGAATTCTTTCCGAAGATTCTATATCCATTCTGTAATACAGTGACCAGAATTGAACTGCGTAATCCAAGTGAGGCCTCACAAGCGCAAGATATAGTTTTAAGATGACCTCGCTAGTCTTGTAACTAACACTCCTTTGTATGAACCCAAATTCTTTATTACCTTTGTTTCGAGCAAATACACATTGTTTACTTGGCTTAAGGCTCCTACTTATCATTACTCCTAAATTTCTCTCGCAGTCGGATTTCTCAATAACATCGTTGTTCATCTGGTATCTGCTTTCCCTGTTTACATCTCCTATACTGAGTACTTTACATTTGTCCTTCACCTCCTTCCAACAAATGGATCATGACGAATTACAGCTTGGTAAAGATTTTAAGGACAGCACTGGGAAAAGGAGCCCACATCTCTCCACGAAGGTAAGGTCAGTTCACTCATTCACTGGTCAAGAACGACCTCAGGTGACAATTCAACGTGTTTTAGCGCTTTTCCATCCACCAGCCCCCACTAAGTCCTCGTCTCCCCCAGCCTCCCCTTCATTCTTATCAGCTGTCCACCACTATCATCAATCCTCCCTCTCTTTCTCATTTCTCCCTCTTTACCATCCCTCGGCCCTCCCTCTCTTCTCAGTTTCCCTCACTAATACTCTACCTTGACCCCGCCAGCACACCTTAATCCCTTCACTAGTCCTCCTTGACCCCCATCACCATTCCTTGACCCCCATCACCATTCCTTGACCCCCATCACCATTCCTTGACCCCCATCACCACTCCTTGATCCTGAGTGAAATTAATATGTTTGTATTCACAATTTAATCATGCTGATCATTGCACGCATTTAGGGAGAAGTGATCTCAAATTTCGCTCGTAATCTGAGTATTCCTTATCATATTATACGAGTACATACTGTTCATTATAAAACAACAGACAGTGCCACGGGCCTCGCACACCATCAGGGGACTTAAGATATATACAGTATTGGAAAGTGTTTTTAGTAAACCGAACGAGGGGGTAAATTCATATAACTTTATTACTCGATATTGAGCATATTATTTACTCTAACTGTACAAAATGTCGATTAAGTTATTTCAAATAAAATTCTTATTAGTAATTCATTATAAACAAATTTGGTCTTAGTGAGTGCTGCTTAGTAATAATTAGTTCTCTCATAAATTTTTATTATTGGTGGACTTGTGTAATTAGTAATCTAGTTACACAAGATACATACGTCTATGCATTTATATAATATCAAGATGTATGCTGTATACTAATTTTGTATCGGCTGCATAACCTTTGTAATAATTAGTTTATTATTTGCATTGCATGTGAATTATGTTGGTCCTATATAATTATAATGTTATATTAATATAATATTATGTACTTGTATAAAAAAGTTTTGAGTTATGCATATTGTAATTGTAAAAGATTTGCTATACATTTCTTTTTTTTTTTTTACGTTTTGAGAGATTTTCCTCCAGAGTTCTATTGTATGTAACTGTAAGTATTTTGGCATTAATTTACTCACTAGTATTATGAGTGAATATTAGGTGATACTGTGTGAACATCGGCTCATTTATATGCTGAAGGCAGAACACTTTCTTTAGCAAATGCGAACCTTTATTTGGTTCCTGACGCACTTTGCACAATTTAATGAATGGAAATTCCTTGGATGTAATCTCACAGTGGAATTGTACGAAATGTCATCCTTGACTGTCAGCCGGAGGGTAGCATAAAATTTTCTACATGATGCTGGTCTGTTAACCAAAGCAGTTATTTCAGAATTTAAGTCTGATAACTGGGTCTAGGAGTTGATGCACTGCTGAGAGAAGTTATTCAGTAGTGGCCGTGACATGTTTAAAGATATAAAGTCTAAGCTAGAGTAATATATTGATTTGTTAAAGTTCTGCCTTCAGCATATGAATGAACCGATGTTCTACAGAGAGGATTGCGAATTCCATGACGTATTATAGTAATATGCTTTCCTAACCAAACCTGTTTGTTTTCTTCACCAAAGACCTCTGTTCATTTAGATCCCCAATCAAGCTGAGCAGTTATCTGGCGATTCTTCACCTCCTTGCCCTTAATAACTAAGGTTCTAAATTGGTTTTCAGTGTTGCTTCTCAGTCTCAAACAACGAGACTTAAAAGAACACGCCTGAGAACACACACCATGGGAATACGAAAGCATTTGTAGGGAGAAGAGGACTTACATTAGGTGAAGGTGTAGTGGGTAAAGTATTGGTTCAAGTCAGAAACGTAACCCTAAGGTTTTCGAGGCGATACAAAATTTTCTAAACAATGAAAATTGCAGGACCGGATCCAGGAATATCGGGGTCCAAGACGTTTGGGGTAGGGAAACATGGCGAGCACAACGAGCCCATCCAGCTGGAGGGTTAGGGGGGGCGCTATAAGCCCCCTCCCCCTGATGTTTTTATTTTAATATGACCAATATCATGGGCATTTTGGAGCCGTTTTGAAACCGTGTGCACTTGATATTAGGAGATATTATTATGTCAATAGTAGTTACTTTTTATTTTACAAAAATGCCTGAGTACAGTACTGCAATAAAGAACAAGTATTGGAATTTCCTGATGAAAAGGGGGTCCAGACCCCCAGGACCCCCTCTGGATCCGCCCCTGAACTGTCGTCATCGAACTCCAGATTGACGGGAATAGGAAGCTGTTTGGAATTTTGTATTTGGATGACGGATATATTGTCCTCTCTTAATGGTCGTTTTCTATAATCAGTGACCTCAGAACCTGAATGGGTGCACGGCTTACTACAATGAACGATGATTATTGGTAGGACCCTCTTGACTTAAGATTGATGGTTAAAATAGAAATGCCAAGTGCAAAACTGTGTTTTTCCTAAAAAATATCAAACTTGAGACACCTGCAGTTTAGCCCTTAAGGAGATTTCCATATGATGAAGCCACTGTAAAAATGTCGCGCAGCGGCCGTTTTAGCTTAACTTTCACCAAAAACATATTTCCTTCAATATCATCGAAACTACTGTAGATATTCAACCATTTAAAAGGGTGTAGGGTATGCATTGTACTTTGTAATATGCAATTTATTGCTGCCATTAGCGAAGATTTTTACCTCTATTTTCTTCAATATTTTTGTAACTACACAATGGCATCATACATGAGGCTTCTATGTCTATATTTTCACGGTCGAAAATATACATATAAACAGTCTGGACGTCCAGATTAAGTGCCACCGCAGACAACTAACAATGTGTTTCAACTGCTAGTAATCTACAGTATATTAACATGTTTCATATCCATTCCCTCAGGTGCAAATGTACGAGAAGACCCGCTGTGGTAAGTTTTAAATTGAAGACGTAGGGTAGCCAAAGACAAGCATTACATCTCATAGATTCATAGGTTGAATCTGGTTGTTTAAAGCACACAATCAACAGACAAAAAAAGAATTCTTTGTCTGGTAGTGACAACGGAATGCCTTCACGTGAACGATCCCCCAAGCGGCTAACGAGCCGATTAGTGGTGAAGAGGATAAAGTAAAGTAAAAAGACGAAGGTGATGCGTACATCATCCCTTCTGTTTCATTTATTTATTTAGATTTCATGAACTGAAGAAACTATAATTATACTGTATACAATTATACATTCAGGAGTCAGTCCACGCCCTTGCCACCCCATCTGGTCCCTGACGTAATGCAAGAGACTGTCAGTTAATTGAAAATGTCCAGAGGGCCAACAGACTGGGTGCCGGCCCTGCACTACGGCACTTCAGTTACCCAGAGAGATTAGAGCGCCTGCAACGCCCTGGCTTATACTACAGACGAACAAGGGGTGACCTAATTAACGTGTATAAACATCTCAAAGGGCACTACTCAGTCGAGTGGCCATACCTGGAGCTGGCGGACGCCCGTCCCACAAGGGGTAACAACTTAAGGTTGAAGAAGCCTTCAAGCTGCCCGCAAGTCCAGAAAACTGCGAGGGCAAACTTTTTCGGAGTGACGGCAACGAGTGTGAGCTGTTTCAAGACCAGACTTTACCAATACTGGAACAGGTACTATGGTGGACAAAAGTTCCTTCCATCAGCCAGCCACACTGTGACTGAATCATTTAAGGTTCGAATAACGAAGCAACTGAGGCAAGTGCTGTAATAGATGGCGCACTGTGTAGTGCGTGTGACGGGGGAGGGAGTGCTGAGGGAAGGGACCATAGTACAGAACTACAGATACTTCAGGAGGCTAGGAGCTAGTGCGAGCCTAGTACTTGCCAACACCAGACGTGATCCACCGACCGCCCACGAGCCGATCCCTGGCGAGGAGGAGAAGAGTAAAGTAAATTAAAAATTGTGGTATTTAACTGGATTCCCATTCTTATGACTACCAAATATGAAACTGGAACCTGCAATGAAATACATAAGTTTTCATGTTCCACTGTAGGCTTCATCCATGTGTTTGAACTGAAGCAGATATAGAGGTAGTGGCCAGGGAGAATGATTAATGTTAAATAAGAACCACGAAGAAAGAGAGCACAATTACTCTTCAATGAATCAAGCAAATATAGTGATATAAATATTGCCATGTTAATATCAATAGGATAGTTTTGGTTTGTATGATTTCTAAAGTTAAGAAAGTAATTTATAATTATTATAAAATAGTTTTAGTAGTAGTTTAACATGGTGTGACCGGTGGAGCCATCTGGTGGTGACCTTGGCGTCAACACCACAACACCAGGGGAGGCAGGTGGCACTACAGGACCTGGCAGCTGACATGTACACCTAACCCTGCCTCAACTACCCTCTACAACCATGGACTCGGACCCGGAGAACCTGGATAAGCAGTTCAGGTAAGAGAAGTCGTTGTGGTCCCTCCGCCTGAGGCAGGAAATGAACCGTGGAATGTTGTTACTTGTGTCACTGCCCGAGACTGTCACTGTAATATTTCTCTCAAACTTTAACAAAAAATAATGTCATGATTTCATTAAAATGTACATATAATTTTCATGTGTTCTATAAAGTGATAGAAGTGAAGCTAGACTTATACAGTCGTCTTTAACAGTGATAAGTCACATGCATCATAGACCATCTTTATTAAAGGGGCACAAAATAGTTATTAGTGTATTGGTTAACTGGTCAATACTCACAAAGGGTGACCAGGAACCTAAGTATTATAAATAGGGTTTTCTAGTGTAACTCATCGTGTTAAATACAAATTTAACGTTACCGTCGGAAATGATGCACAGTGAAGATATTGGAAAGGAAGTGGTAGGTCAAACAATGGAAAAACCTTAAAAAACTAACAAAAACCTAACCTAACCTACCTAACCTAATCCCTAGTGCATAAGAAACGTGCCTTAGGTAAGAGGTACAGGAGGATAAAGTGATGCCACTTGAGTGAGGAAGTGGCCGTCTCTACCACAGTTCCATGCCTGGTGATCTACACGGTGTCCGTCTCTACCACAGTTCCATGCCAGGTGATCTACACGGTGTCCGTCTCTACCACAGTCCCATGCCTACGCGGTACTCACACTCTGAATGGACAAGTTGATGTTCAGAATTATTTCGTAAGATGGCAGGTCAAGAAAATGTTTAAATTCACTATGGTGATCATATTTCTAAATAAATTGGTCCAAAAAGTGTCAAAAATAAGGGTTAAAGTTGCTAAAAAGTCACGTGACTGCAAAAAGCTCTGTGATTGGTTGTAAAGTCACTGGTTGGGGCGAGCTTCCCAGCCGGAGGCAGCCAGCAGTAGTTGTCCCACCTTCTCGGTTGATCGACTCTAAATAAATATTATTAGATAATTAATTGTGCTTTACTGTGCAACACAGTAATGCTATATTGAATATATAAATATTACTAAGCACATTAATTAATTCAATGTATATTAGCTGCCCCTACTACAAATTTCATAATATAAACATTCCAAGCAATCTGGTATTATTTTGGTTATGGTCATCTGGGGAACCTTAAGATTCTAACTATGGGATTAAGAACTTTAAATAATAAGACACATTATTATCTCTACGAGATTTGTGTCGCAAAACATTTTTCGATCGCATAAGAAAATACAGGTCATATGTTAGGTTAGGTTAGGGCATGGTAAGTTATAAGATTAGCTTAACATACATCGGAAGGGGGTAGTAACTCATAATTAGTGATTTTCGATAGAAGTGAAGGTCTAAATCGTTCATAACACATCACAAACCATCAGAAAGAAACATAGTCTGCATGTCTAAGTACAGGGACGACCCAAACTTAAAACTTACCCTATATAGCCTATCTCAAATCTAAACATCCAAATGCTTCTGGTAGTTAAAGTAAAATTGTACCCATTAATTAATATAAATGATGATATATCCCAGTGGTTCATTAGTAAATCATCAAAACAATAACAGCACTATGTTGTCATGTTTACCTTGCATCGGGCATTCTCAAAACAAAGTCCAGACGATGTCATTACTTCTAAATTTACTCGTATGTCCATCTAGTACTGATATACTCAGTAAATACACTGGGGGAAAAAAAAGGGAAAGTCTACCAGGTAAGAGCACATGACAGCTGAGCTGGTGTGAATATGGGAGTCTTTTTATGTCCAAAAGAACATAAGAATGGAGGAAACTGCAGCAGGCCTCTTGGCCCATACTGGGGAGTAGTATTTACACCCAACCCCTATCGCTCATATATCCATCCAACCTATGTTTGAAGTTGCTCTTCACAGCACATTTCTTCACTTACGAAATGTCCATGACTTAGACCATAAAAAAAAGACACCCTTAAAACTTACCTGAACGTTGCATTTGGGGTCTGAAGACGCCATCCTTTCTACTACCTCCGACTGCAGCGATAAGTTTGAAACTAATGATGTCATTGCAAATGGCAGCCCTGTTTCTAGAGAAATAAACTTATCTTGACTATTATAGCAGGACTTTCAACTTTTATTGCAAATTATATACAGCTCCTCCCCAACTTACGACGGGGTTAGGAACCCAAATCCAGGTCGTAAGTCGAAAATGCTTAAATAATACATATAAAATCTAAAATGGGTGTCTCTTTTTCTTCAAAGCACCACAAAACTCTCACTTTTAAGCTTGCCAGCCATTTTAAAGTGAATTACAAACAAAAATTTTGTCAGTACACAGCACAATCACTGATGTTGGGACTCGAAAGTACGTAATTTGACAATTTTGGTACGACTGAGGCAGTCGTAAATCAGGGAGGAGCTATATACTGTATCACTCTACGAATGTGGTAGAGTGTATTTCTTGTGTTTACCCAGAACCATCAACTCGTCCATTACATCTCTGACACTTTACAGATGAAACAAAAACACCGTGAGCCCTAAAATTGACAACAGCTGCTGCTTCATTGGCCAAAATGTGCTGAATAATGCAACGGCCAGCCAATGTACAGTCAGTCACAAGAATAAGTATACTGTATATCTACAGACAAAATATCTGGTAACACTATCCTGAACAAAACAGACAAAATTACAAAATGACCTGTAATTTGTTTTATTCCTACATATATGTCATAAATACATTTGTTGTGAATTTTTTACTAGTGTCTTGTGTTTATATTACAAGTAATATATTTTATCCAATGTTAGTAAACTTGTTGCCGAATGGGATTGCAGTTATCGTACGGCTCCCTCCTCCTCCCCCACTTTGTCTCTTACCCTACTTTTTTTTACTGATGTTTGGATTAGTAAAGGAAGGAAGGAAGGAAGGAAGAGGAATAAATAGAAGAATAAAGAAGGGGAAACAGAAAATAGTTAAGAGATAATAGGTGGGGGGAGCTGAGTTTCATCATGCATCTGGATGCGCAGTTTCAACGTTACCAGACCATTTTCGGACCTTACTGCTGTAGTGTGTTTATTTATTCCTGTGGCCGACTGTACATCCATCTCACACAGATGCCATCTTCTAACTGGCTGCGAACACCGATTAGTGCACGAGTATTACATCACATCAGCACACACGCTGATTGGCGTGCACGACTATAACGTCACATCAACACTAATGCTGATTGGCCAAATATAGTTTACCTTTATTTACTTTTACTCAAAACTATACATTTCTGATGGAAACGTTTTATTTATTTTTTCTCCATCTCCCCATATATGACTCAATACTCAGGTCCCTAGTGACTCTCTGAATATTGACCAGTTAATATTTAGTTACCACCACCTAACTGAAGGTCGAGTCATATATGGGGAGATAGAAAAAAAAATACAAATAACTTATTCAATAATGTTTGTCTTAAATTTATAGTTTTGAGTTATTTTAATTTTTACTTTATAATATTTAACCATTTGGTTAATATTTATGACTGAACTGCAGATGAGTTATTTGTTTTGCTGTTTATTTTCGTGCTCTATTTTCATCAGTGAGTACTGATATGATAATCATTTCTTGTGCATATACTTAGTTTGATAGATATTTAGGCGCCTAAGGTGCACTACTTTGTCTTCCCGGTGGTAATACGGCCGCGCTCTTTATTTTACTTGCCTCTCATTTCAGTACCAGTTTCATTTTCAGCATGGTGTGTAAAGGCTGTCGCTGGTCTTGTGCTACAGTTCTAGTACTTTTCACAGCAGTACTGTGAAATTTAACTGGGTTTGTGTACAGTGTTGTATATGACATATTTCAAAGCACTGTCACCTGGCCTGGATCAATGCCGATGCGGGCGGCTGCTCTCACGTCCACAAAAAAACATAAAATTACACCATATACCGATAATAGTAAATTCTTTCTGTTTAATATACTGCCCCTGGTTAGAAAGTTGGGTAAGGTTAGGTAGGTTTATTTGGTTAGGTTGGTGAAGTCTTTTAACAGCACTTCTGTTTGTTTTTTTAACACATTTGCACAAACTACGAGTGTCCACTATACTGTAAAACACAATGAAAGTGTGTCATTTTATAATCGTTTTCTATGAAAAATCGGCTGCAGGTCAGTCCTCAATAATTCCCATGTTTTATGTTATGTATTTTATTTTTATTTATTTATTTATTTTTTATTTTTATTTATTTATTTATTTTTTTTTTCTTCACATTTTCTCTGTGATCATAAATCATCTGTAGTAGTCAGGGCATGAAGGATGAAAGAAATTATACTTAAATGATGTCTACCGGTATGTGCTTTGTACTGGGAACATTTTGCTCATCCAGGCATCTACCTAACAAGATCTTTAGGGGATCAGCAAGCTCATTGCACAACTCTCTGAATTAACGAATAGGATGCATTACTGGTCACGCCTAAATAACCCGACACTGTTTTGAGCTATTTTGGCGGTCCACTGTTAATAGAAGTAATGATATAATGTTTATTGTTTTATGCTTTTATGCAAGGAAAAACAGGACATGATGATACTGTATTTATGTAGAAATTTATTTTTTATTTTTTTAGATTTATACATTATGAATTATAAAATATATACAGTACTGTACTGTACACTTTATATATATTTCTCTGCATTTTGGGGGCCTTTCATGAGGTAAGAAAGCAAAAAAAAATTTCTGTATTCCAGCAACCGCCTGCTACTGCGTCATGCCAGCCAAAATTCCCTTGATGAGAGTTCTCAGAAACACATTCCACGCTCAGAGACCAAGCACAAGCTGCCCTACAGAAACCCTCAACATTTCCCTCGAGCATTTGATAATTTGAATTTGATGCGAAGGTGAGACAAAATATTAGGGTGCAATGATTAAATATCTTTTCAGAGTGAAATTAGAAATATTTGGGCATTTCATAATTTACAGAGTTCTTTTTGTAATGGGTTTAGTAATTAAGTCATAATGGACATTCTAGGGATATCTTAAAGTTGGTATACCATGAAACACAAACATTAGAATAGGGTGATGAATATACAACTGTGTATTAATACAGTATGGTTGCAGGTGTAAGTGAAGAATTGCAGGGCACCAAAAATTTGAAATGTTAATTTTCCCAGAAAAAAAAAGTTATAGTGGAAGAAGTATACTGTAATTGTTAACACGATGGGGAACCAGATCTTGAATTTTTATTTAATTGCATCTTTCAACTGTAAAAACTATTGCTTTTAACTGTCATGTTTTAGTATCACTGGAGTAAACATTATTTTGTTGAAGGCTACAGAATAGTAATTGTGCAGAAGCTCTCAATTGTAATTTAAGGAATATTGAATGTACTGGACTTTACAAATAGAAAGATCATATTTATTTAAGAAATGGATTTTGAAGTTTCTAATTTTGTAGAAACCAGCATAATTATGTTTCAATATTCTACAATTTTGTAAATGCCTCACAGGAGGGGGACTGTGAGGGGATAAAGTCATGACCCAGGAGATAATCATTCACTTTTCTTGACTGCCCCTTTATAGCCACCAGACAAATTTATGAATTGGAAATTATATGAAAGACTCAATAATCATGAGAGATTATGTAAGGGCCTGTGGATTTTTGCAATTTTCCGTAGAATAACCTGAGGAATCAACTGTGTTTGGATTATTTTGTTGGCACTTATGATTGTGAACCTCTTTTTCTAGTGTAGTAATTTAATACACTCATATTGATTTCAGACAAAGTCAGCTGTGCGATGTTGTATTAGTTGCAGACAGTACAGAAGTTCCAGCCCATAAGATGGTGTTGGCTTCATGCAGTCCATACTTCCATGCTATGTTTACTAGTGAGTATTGTATTGCGATGTGTACAAAGACAAAAGTCGTGTCGCGGTTTTGTCCGAAGATTAAATATAACTCGTGAAACATTATGAGAGCCCCCTACCACAAGGCAGAACTCACCAAAAGCTTAGCCCTTCAGCATATATTTTCACAAAATATAACAACACGACTTTTGTCTTTCTTTGTACAGGCTCGTTCAAGACTCTTCGAACACTGCTGGAGACAGCTGGCAACTCTAGGCCGTTTGTTTACTATAGTACGTAGTATAATATAATACGAAACAACTAGGCCCAACCATTAAATTAAGTAACGGGGAACTAAGTAAGCAATCACCAATCACTTTTACATGCATTCTTAATTTTTACAACGTACTATAGTAATCAAACGGCCTTGAGTTGCCAACTGTACATATTTAGTTAATTTACTTATTAATTGAAATTGGCAAGTTGGTGATGCTCAGATCATTAATTATGCTGGAGTTTATTAGAACTGTTGAACTAATGTTAAAAATGTAAGTTGCATAGGGCTGTCAGAGGATTTGGTAGATGGAACAGTCATTGTCTCCTTGCTTTCTTATCCATGCATATGTATAATAACAAATAATATATTGTACTACAGTATACTGTATTGTATTTTAGTGTACTGTACCTGTATGCCAAGTGTCATAGCTCTGAGCTATAATATGCTTAAATACTGTAGTACAACATTGCTATTTGTAGGGAGAGGTTAAATTATGCACTCCTTCATCCATTCTGATACTAGCTAAGGATTGGAAATAGAATTAATAGTTGATAAGTATAGAAGAATAAGACCCCTCCCCCTTAACTCTTTCGGAACTTTATAAGATTTCAGGTTAGTTCCCAAAAAGTTTGAATTACTGTATCCATCTAATATTGAAAGTTCTGGTTTCATTTTTTTTTCCTAAGTTGACATAACCATGATGTTCTTATATTTGACATTGAAATTGCTTGAAAATTGTAAATATCCTCGAATTTTTATTTATTTATTTATTTTACCAAAGACCATTGGATTTAATTACCGTAAGCTTTCCTGTAAAAGTGGAGCGTCCCACCGATTTATTGTAATAATGTGCCCTGGTGGCAGTGCTGGAAATCAGCATCATCATGACATAAGCATTTACCTGGTTGTAACACATGTTTCTGATGTATCAATACTGTATTTTCTTTTTTTTCAGGTTTTGAGGAAAGTCGACAAGAGAGAATAGTATTACAAGATATTGATGGTAGTGCATTGCAACTTCTTATTGATTATGTATACACAGCAGAAGTTTTGGTCACAGAGGAAAATGTTCAGGTGAGATAAGGTTGTACGTGCTCATGGCATGACCTTGTCCGTATACTGTACAGCACTGTGTTTTTAAATGTAATATGCAGATACAGTATCTGTAGAAACACACTTGTAATAATAAACATATTAGTTCACTGTACATATATCAGAAATTTTTCATTTTTTACAATAAGGAAATTAAAAATGTGTAACCACTTTTTTTACTGATGTGTAGATACAATTACAGGAAATCATGAGTTTTTCTTTTTTTATTTGAAAATAGATGATAATATATCTGTCACTTATAAGTGTTAAGAGTGTCATGTCACTTATTGATGCTGATATGGAGACTTGCCATCTAGGCAGGATGTTTAAACATTTAATTTGATAACAGTATTTAAAATTCCAACATAAAATTTAAAACCATAGCAGAACACATTACAGCAGTAAGAATGAATAAAATCATAATGAGGAAAGTGTTTTACTGTGTGTACTTGTTTTACCTCCACCATTTATTATACAGTATTGGTAAAAGAAGAAGATTTGAAAATGTAGTCAGGAAAATTAGAGTACAGTATTGTGTAATAAGTTTTTTTATTTCTTATTTTTGCAGGTTCTTCTCCCAGCTGCTAATCTTCTTCAGCTGACAGATGTTCGAGATGCTTGTTGTGACTTCCTTCAGTCTCAGCTCCACCCCACAAACTGTCTTGGTATTCGAGCCTTTGCAGATCTTCATGGGTGTCTCGAGTTACTGTCCATAGCAGAAAGTTACGTTGAACAGCATTTTACGTAAGTTTATTGACTGACAACTTGGAATTCTATAATTTTATTCTTGAAATTGTAGCTATTATGTCAGATTCTTTGGCTACAATGTATCATTTACGATGATAGTAGTTGAGACTTCTTGTCAAGTCAGCCACAGTATTTTTTCTTTGGCCACCTTGAAAACTTCTATCAGTGGGGCCAAACTACTGACTAATCAATCTCGTATTGTAGTTTTTTCTTATAAAACAAACCTTTTTGGGGGATTAAATTTTACTAATCAAGAATATGCAATGATCTTATGTAGTTTATCAATTGTGTTTTTCCACAGAGAGGTGGTCGAGTGTGAAGAGTTCCTATCCTTAACTTCTCAACAAGTCATCAAACTTATCTCAAGTGATAGACTCACCACACCATCTGAAGAAAAGGTATAAGATGTTCTTATTGCTTTCTCCTGAGTTCAGAGAAGAGTAAGTAAAGTAGGGTAAAGATTGTATGGATTGAAATTTGTGTGGCATTGTAGTCATTCCTATTGGTCTACGATTACCTTAAATTTTCTTTTACAGTACAGTATATCTGTACAGTACTTATCATACAAAGCCTAACACACTCTAATAAGCAGCTTGTGAATTACCCATTAAGTTATCACTTGAAAAACAAGGTTGTGACCATAGCCCTGAAAAAAGGGACATCATTTAAGATTAGATATTAATGAGGCTTTTGTTATACAGTATTATAGTATTTCCACACTAACCTGGTCCATAAGCAACGCCCCTCATCTATAGCTACAAATAGCTGATTGGTTGATAGAAAATGTTTGTGTAGCTGTCCTTTTATTCAAACTAAGTAAGTTCACAATTGGTAAGCAGACCTGTTATTCTCTAAAATAATGTTAAATAACTGAACTATCAAACTGCAAATGTTTTCAAGGCATTAGCACTTCAGAGAGGATGTCAGAAAATTTTAAATATTTATCATAAAAGGTCAAAGTTAAAGATGAAATTCACTTTCAAATGAAGTCTTTTCATATGTCTTTGTTTTGTACCAAACATAAAGCAAACAGAAACAAATGATACCAAGCATGTAAAATATGAAAACGTCATATGATGTAACCAGAACTCTTGAAATGCGAGTCATTGTGACATGACCCGAAGTCAGGGAGTTAATATAATCTATATTTGTGTATAACTGTGTGAATTTTAAGATTTTTATTTTAACTCTTGAAGAGAAAATGGATCCCCACCACAGGCATCAGTAGATTATAATTTTAGTGTTTTTGTGTTCTGCTTGAAGGCTTGTAAGTACTGCACAGTAAAGTGCGAGGATAAATGGAGTACCTTCCAGAAAGTGTATACTGTACGTACTACTGTAAATAGTGTTATTTATCAAACCTGGGTTATTTTAACTCTTAAGGTATTGTGGGTTTCACTGTCAGTCTGTGTGTATGTATGTGTTTCTGCACTAAACACTTGTTTTGTGTTGTAGGTATTTGAATGTGTGATGAGCTGGGTGAGTGGTGATCTGACCAACCGAGAACAGTATCTAGCAGAACTGATGGAATATGTACGTCTGCCACTACTCTCTCAGGACTATCTCATCCAGCGGGTGGAAGAAGAACCCCTTCTGAAACAAGATACTCAGTGTAAGTCATTTGCTTCACAGCATGATTTATATAATGACAATGACTGTTCAGCCAGGCAGTCAACCAGCAGACTGAGACATATGTGTGTATGCCTTTATGTCACATTGGAGGGAGGTGGGTGAGTCATCCACGCAGTACAGCTCACTGCCTCTACATATGTTCACCTCACACACACACACACACCTATGCTCTTCATTTTTCTTATTTTATAGTTGTATATTATAATTTCTTTATTTCTAAGCCACATTAGAGTATTGTAATGTTTACTCTTTTGCTCAAACTTGAATTATATGCAGAGAAAACATTAATTTTTGTTAAAAAAAATTTATTTGTATTACATAAACTCGGTCCAGATAAGCATCAACACCATCTCTGAAACATTTATAATTTTTAACCCAAAATATTATTACAAGAATGATAATCTTGGTGCCATGGTACAGTTGTGGACCCCCTGTGGTAACCCATGTCTCCAAATGGCACCGCCACAATAGTAGTAGCATCACTATTTATGAATGAATTGGTATTGGTTGTTTAAAGACGGACGTGTTTCATTCATAAATACGTATTGATACTACTACAGTGCTATTTCCGTTGGTCTGAAAAATTGCTACAGAGCACTTCCGGGGATGAGCGATTTCCGGCTAACCAGACAACTTTCTCAAACCCGGAAAACTTCCTTATTCTGTGAATCTTTTCCTGTTATTGGGAAAAGTTCCGAATGTCTAAACTAGACATCTTGCACAGACACTAGTCCACTTCCCCCAGAATGTTTCTGGGAACTGGGGATGCTTTCCTTGAGTCTCAACTACTGTACTGGAATTCGTAAAAGCAGTTCCAATCAAGTTAGAAACTCCATTTTTTACTAAATGAATCCAGAATAGTTTATCTAAAAGTTTGGTTAAATAAATATATTGTATTTAAAAATTATAGATCTATATGTTACGGCCGTGAGTTAATATGTGTAACAGCAAATACCGGTGCTGGTATTTTTCACTCCCATGGAGCTGTGGGGGATTAGTGGGTCTCATGTAACTGACCTGATCTGCAACAATGTCAGGTGGAGGTAAGATGGGGGATTAGTGGTCTCATATTACTGAACTTCTGATGGAATGTCAGGTCACCCTTTGTTGGGTGGGGTTTAGTGGGTCTCGTGACCTAAAGATGTCTTGAATAAACATGAAACCTAAAGTATTTTGGGGGAGATTGTGATAAGTATAAGTACACAGTATATGAGCAAAGTTGTATCCCTTCAGCATTATGTTACATAACATTTTAAAATATATAGTGAGAAAGCAGAAAGGTGTGGGTAATTAGAAAGATGAAGTGGAAAGAGTGTTGCCAAGCGCTCCTCAACAGCTGATATTTTACTTGTTACTGTGCAGTCACACACGCACAAATTTATCATACAATAAGACCCTCATGCCTGCTGTCTTAATTCCTGTGTTAGGGGTGTGGGAGTGTGTGTGAGAGAGAGTGAGTGATGTTGGGGTGTGTGGGTGGTGTTGGAGGGTGTGTGGGGGAGGTGTTGGAGGGTGTGTGTGGGTGGTTGTTGGAGGGTGTGTGTGTGGGGGGTTGTAGGAGGGTGTGGGCAGTTCTTGGAGGGTGTGTGTGTGTGTGGGAGGTTGTTGGAGGGTGTGGGTGAGGGTGTGTTTGAGTGATGTAGGGGTGTGTGGGTGGTTTTGGATGTGGTTGTTGGATGGTGTGGGTGGTGTTGGAGGGGGTTGTTGGATGGTGTGGGTGGTGTTGATGTGTGTAACACAGTGTGGGTAATGTGAATGTACAGTACAAGTGACTAATCACTATTTATGTTCTTAACACTGCACACTGTATTCTTGGCTGATGTGGTTCTGGGAAAATAATGGTCAGTACTGCACAACACAAATTGTACACAAAAACAGCAGCTAGCGAGGGAACAACTTTCTACAATGGCAACAGAATAGGAACTAAGGGATCCACCCACGTGCCTGGCCTGTGTGGATGGGTTGGAGCATGATGCAATCTTTTGGAATGCCCTGGAAATTTATTCCCAGACCCAGATTTTATTTTATTTTTTATTTTTTTTAAGATTTTTCTTGAATTTTCAGAAAATGCTCCTGAATTTCAACCTCGGAATTTGTTCCCACACTCAGAATTCTGAGAATTTTCCGGAAAAATTCTGAGCAAATTTCAATTCCTGCTATTGGAGAGTACTGGGTGTGAGGGATTCTGGCTAACGGAGATATTACTTACTGCAATGGTGCCGTTTGGAGACACGGGTTACCATAGGGGGTGTAGGAACACATTTCCACAACTGCACCAGACCCTATTTTTTTCAGTATTTGCGGATTCACGAATTGTGACAATTTCCAAGAACACAACCCTCGTGAATACTGGGGAATAAGTGTATTGTTAATACCTGTACTGTAAACAAAATAATGTATACTACTACTATACTGTATAAGGTACAGTATACTGTACTCACCAGCAGATGCTGTCGTCTTAAACCTAGACTAGGCATACACTGTCCACTCAGCTGAATGTAAGGAACAAAGCAAAATTATGATAAATTTCAGATGTAGTTAAACCTGGGTGACCAGAAGCTTCATTGGAGTGAGTTGGTCTTTGTGGTCTGGTGAAAAGAGCTCTGGGTGAATCAGTCAGTCACTCAGGCTAGGTATTCATAAAGCTACTGATAATGTTAAAAGTGTGTAAAAAAAAAGTTAAGATGTATTTTTCATTTATTTAACTATACGTAGTTTTATATATATTTGTCTTTAAATTACAGGTAAAGATTACCTAATAGAAGCTATGAAGTTTCATCTGTTAAAAGGTGAACAGAAGGCACTATTTAAGTCTCCAAGAACCAAACCCCGGCAGCCTGTTGGTCTTCCTAAGGTAAATTTTAGCGAAGTAAGGAAATATTGTCATATATAATTATAAGCTTTTCTCGTAATGCCCTTTTTTTTTTAGAAGTTTTTGTTTAGTTTTTTTTAGTTTTTTCACTGTTTCCTGTTTATTAACATATATTAACATTACTTTTTGGAGATTAATATTTTTTTATTTTTTTTAGACACGTTTTGAATTATTCCTTTGTTGATTGGTATTTTTTATAACATTTGTTAGTACAAGTGTATGTAGTAACACACAGTTCTAACGTACCTACAGTATATCTTGATAAACTTTTGTGGAGGAGGGAGGGTGAACTACTTTCCATAAGTGCCCCTGAATCAAGCTGAGATTCTGGGCATTCAAGGAGAAGGTTCTACTGTACAGTATTATTATTATTATTATTTTACTCTATTTTATGACACCAAAATTATTTTCAGTGTTATTTGATTAAATCTCAGGGGCACAGACTTAGACAAGCCTTGCTTTTGCTTTTTATGGGTTATTATTTTCAAGAATCAGCTTCATATTTCTCTTCAATATGTCCATTAAAAATATATGTAATATTTTACTAGTACTGTACAAGTAATCTATGTTTATTGCAAATTTCATTACACAAATTACTTGCAACTGAGAAGCATCTAATAGAACCTTCTAAAAATTCAGTCTACGAACTGCGGTGTAAGGGAGAAACCTCACGTGCTTCTCAATAAATCATTCATTGCCACAGTTTACACTGTTCTCTTATGCATTCCTGCAGTTATTGCTTTTGTCATAAGAGCGGTAAATATTACAGTATTGTACAGCAAATGGTGGTGGTTGGTGAGTTGACATATGGTCGTGAGAGACAGAACATGCACACAGCTCTCAGGTGGTCACTAATTACCACAACTTATGCAATTCTTTATACATTCTTAGAGTTATTACATTCTTAGTGTTTTAAAGAAGTAAGAGTTATGAAACTGGGTGTAGTGGCTAACTGTGCCACAGTGGTGCTCGGTTGTCACTTGATGAATCTTCTAGAGATGCATCACTTGAGAGCAACAATATGGATATGCTTCTCAAGTGCATTTTATATTCTATTCCATATACAGTATATTTGTTATTGATTTTTGTGTGTTTCTGTATGAAAAATCAGCCCAAGTACCCAAACAAAAATTCCCACCCAGGAATGCATCCCCCCTTAACACACATTACCTGGGGGAGGGGGGGGGGTTAATTTCACTTTTGTAATTTTGCACATCACTGATACCTGTACATGGTTTATGAAAAGACAAAATCAGTTATTTATTTGCTTAAAAAGTCTTAGGTGCTTAATTAGTATAATTTGTGGGGACAATTTTTACTCCTAAGAACATATCTGCAGTTGTATATAGGAAGTCCAGGGGAAATACGTTTTGAGTTACTGACAAGTTTTCTGAAACATAACCCCTTTGTATCTCAAGGGATACCTGTACGTACTGTATTTTTACTTTGTTACTCATCAACACTGATTATGTGTACTGAACACCATTGTGAAAAGTTTCTTATGTAATACAGGTACAGGTATAGTACATAAAAAATCCAAAACTTTCTCAGTCAGCATGAGGCTGGGTTATTGGGGACTATAAAAGGTGTACATGCTGGTGATATGATTGGCATTTGTATTATAGATCATAAAGTTTCCCTCCCATGGTAAAGGCTTAGAGTGTTACCCCTAATAACAACTATATTTGTACAGAGTTACAGGTATCCCTCATTTAACTATGGGGATTTGTTCCTGAAAAACGTAATGTTGAGCAAAATTTTTGCTAAACGAGGGATAATAACCTAAATGAGGGATAACTGTGAATAATATCCGTGGAGATGGCATGTACAGGTCCTCCCCGACTTACAACGGGGTTAGGGACCCAAATCCAGGACATAAGTCAAAATGGTCGTAAGTCGAAAGTGCTTAAATAATACATAGAAAATCTAAAATGGGCGTCTCTTTTTCTTCTCAGCACCACAAAACTCTCACTTTTAAGCTTGCCAGCCATTTTAAAGTGAATTACAAACAAAAATTTTGTCAGTACACAGCGCAATCACTGACGTTGGGACTCGAAAATACGTAATTTGACAAAATTTGGGTACAACTGAGGCGGTCATGTGTCTGGGTGGTCTTAAGTCGGGGAGGAGCTATAATTGTATAGCCGACTCACCACCCAGTAGTGGGTGAGGCTGAGCTGTGAGCTATGTTATTGTTCAGCTCGTAATTTTGGTGAGTTGTACGATATATTTCTTTACTCTATTACATGCACACAGTCATTCATATAGAATGTGCAGAAAAATATTAATAATAATAATAATAGGTCAAAAACATAAAAGGAATTAACATTTCATTGTGCAGGAGCTAGCTGGTTGTACTGGGAAGGGAGTGGAGTGTGGAGGGTGGTGTTGCTAGGGAGTCGGCAGAGGTAGCGTCTTCGAGCTGACCTGTGTTGCTGTGGCCAAGTATTTATGCAAATGGCAGTTGTGTTAAACTTTCATTTGGCTTTTTCTTAATTGTTTTAGCTGTATTTTTCATCTAGATTGTATACAAATGTTGTTTGAAGTAGCACAATTGTTAAATAACTACAGAAAGGTAGGTGGTATGGTTTATGAATGCTGGCAAATAGGTATTGGAAGTTGTGAGTTTGCTTCAGGCATTTGACTTACCGTTTAGGCTGTTACTTTTCTTTTCTTTTCTTATACAGGGATTAGCCCACCAGGGCTCAGGTCACTGACCCATGTTGGGGCCTGGGAAGCAAAAATTTAATAATAATAATAAAGAACCATAAAGAAATACAAAAATAAAAAGATTAAGAGTGAAAAACTATGTACCGTATGTATTTTGCGTTGTCAAAGTAAGAGAAACAACTGAGACCCTGCAATTGTGTGTAAATGAGGCAGAAAGTCAGATCAGCAACTGGGACTTGGTCACAAATTTTGTGATGCCATATGGCAGCAGGAGTCTACCATTACACAACACATTATGCTTCCAATATCTTCCCAGGCAGTAGTACCTCCCTGCTTGATTGCAGCCTACTACCTACTGTGGTATATATTATTTTATTTTTCATGGGAGCTGGTAACTGGCAGGAATTCAATTTCAGAGTTGATAACACTGTTCATAGCATCAACTGATGTGGTGGTGGTCATGGCCAAGACACGTTGGTGTGAATGTGAGGTGTTGCTACAAATTATGTCCATGATTTTACCGATAAATTGACCTCTGATGGTTTGGAAAAACCGCTGGTCCAGCATGGTTCTGGTCACGGGGGTGCCTGAAAATCAGTGAACTACATGTAGTTAAAAATGTGTCTTTTTGGAAAAGGACATTCAAGTGACCTAAAGAAATATCCCTTGCACTGTACAAAACTCTTGCTAGTCCTTATATTGAATAGGAAGACATATTACAAACACAAATTTCATTAAGGACAACATTCCCATCAAAGACTGACTAAACAATATACGTACAACAATATAATTTCACCATTAAGAACGTGCCTTGTGATGAGAGCCCAATAAGTACTGTGCTGTATTTAAAGTGCAATATGTGTATTGATTTGGTAGAGCTGTACAATTTTGCCACTTCCAAACAATATTAATACTGGTAATAAAAATAATCTTACTAGAGAGTCACACTGAAGCTTCAGAGGGCGAATGATATCTGTAACGGATGAGATTGTCACTGCATATAGTACTATTTCCATAAAATGCAGAGTAAGTTCGCTTTAGAAGTTATTTATAAAAATCTTAGATGTTGTAATATGGCCGCCTCTGCTGCTTGTCAGTATGTCATTTAGAATCTGACAATCTAACCAAAATTCAAGAATTTACAGAAATTTTAGGTCTATTGATGAGTGTATGTAAGTATTAAGTGTGTAACCAATATGTATTATTGTTAGTACCAATGTATTTTAAGATATTTATGAAAATTTACATATCCAATAAATTTGTATTTTTAGGTTCTACTGGTGGTTGGTGGACAGGCTCCTAAGGCAATTCGCAGTGTAGAGTGTTATGACTTCAAGGATGAACGGTGGTTTCCTGTGGCAGAAATGCCAACAAGACGTTGCAGGTAAGTTTAAGATTGAGACAATGACTGATCTATGTATATGAGCATGCTAAGTCTATGACAATGTCACCCAATGGTACTCTGAGCAATTGGAGCTAGACAACTGTGTGTTGTTACCTGTCCAGCACATGTGGATCTGCCAAGTGATGTGGATGTTGCCTCTCAATGTAGAAAGACCAAATGCTTGTAATGGTATTCCCTTGGAAGAACCAGTTCACACCACTGTACCCAGTCCTAAAAGACAAAACTCTTGATCACTCTCCAAGGGTCATGCTTGTCATATTTAACCAAATAACAGAGGTTTAACTGAATGGACAAACCCTAGAAAGGAAATTAGTACTGTACACAACATTTGGACACATTCTTTTAAAGTGTTGTGAATGCACCTTTTCACATATCCGTTGAGACATTGTTACATAACTATTTGATGAATTTCATAACCGAATGACAGAACACATATCGAATGACAATCTAAAATAACTGTTGGTGGTATGTCATTCTCCAATTGTTACATTTTCAAACTAAATGTAGACTGTCGGTTTATTGTTCACGTCTGTCAACTTCATAACTTATGTCAATCACTTCCGTTAGCATGAACGAAGTTATTTTAGATTGTCATTCGATATGTGTTGTCATTCGGTTATGAAATTTGTCAAATAATTATGTAACAATGTCTCAACGGATATGTGTAAAGGTGTATTTGCTGGTAGAATTTCCTTTCACATGCTCCTGACAAAGCCAGCAGTCTTATGTCATTAGAAATTATGATCTGGGGGGGGGGGGGCCTGAATATATTCGAATTTGCACTTACATGCAGATCCCAGAAACATAAGCCTTGCGTACTCTGAGAGCATACTGTATATGACTATCTTGCCAATACCCTTGAGTCTTCAGATCACTGTCTTATTTCCAACTCATCTGCAACAATTCCCAACTTATCATATAGTTTCAAAACACACCTATATTAATACAATTTATAAATACACTGTAGATAGATATTTATTCAATAAAATTGTCCTACAAGTTGACATAGATTCTGCATGTACATAGACAGTGCTGGTATACAAGCAATGGTAAACAATAAGTTAGCTTGACTCAGGATATTCCAGGGAAGCCATCATATGCTATTTCCAGCAGGGTCCTTTCCCTTGGTGAGGAAACTAACCAATAACAGAAAATCTAAAATAAACCACTAAATTGTTGGCTAAATGTAACACGTACAACTACATGCTTAGATGATGGTTGTAGTTGTAGTGCTTAATAATTGTATCTTTCTTGTTGGTCTCTTAAACTTTGTTAAATGTTCAACACTACAGTAGTCAGTTTTTTCTATCATAAAAAGAACCAGCACTTTTGAAACATAATGTGCCAGCTATTGTAGAGGGGTCTGGAATAGAAGCTTGGATATTATGATGATGGTTGAGAAGGCTTTGTGAGAACTAATTATTGATAATTGGTAAGGATAGGTCAAGAAGAAGGGAAATGTAGCATTACATAAAGGAATGTTTGTAAATGTAACTCTTGTTAAAGATTGGGAAGTTAATTTCAATCGTTTAATGTGAAAGTTATATACAAATCTGATATTGTACTGTACAGTAACTCTATCCAGAATAAAAAGGAATTGTTTTTTTTATTATAATGAACAATGGAAAGACATTTAAAGACAACCATATATTAGCTGAAAGTCTAATATTTAGAGTAAAGTATTAGCTAGTGAACTTTATATTCGTATATTTTGTGGTTAATCCTATCAAGACAGCTCTGGTGGTATCTGCATATCCTCTTAGAATACCAGTATTACAGTAAAGTTTAAAACATTTCAAAAAATTTCAAAGCAGGAATGACCACATTCCTCCTAATGTGGTCAGATTCATGGCTGTGCACTCTCCTTTTTTTTTCTTTTTTTGTAATTTTTGTATCTCAGGCTAACACAGGCTTGGCAAGTTGTGCAAGATATTATTTTTGTCATAGATTTTTGGGTGATTTATGTACAGTCTTTGCAGTGACTGAAAGTTTAAGTGATGTGTCCTTTAATGTTTAAAAGTGTCACTAACTATAGTTTTTTAAAGTTGTATTTTTTTTTTTTTATAACGAGATATTTTTTAGTTACTTATATTTTCCATGGAATAATTTTAACCTCAAGTTACTTTTGTTATAAAGACACAACATCTGAGTAGATACAGTGCTAGCCTAATGCCCTAGAGGTTGATGGTTCAATCCTGGGACACACACAGTTCATGCAACTGTGAATGGATACCTAACTTTATAGAAAGGGAAGTGAAGGTGGTCTAATAATACAGTACATGCTGGCCATGCTGCCTCCTTGCATACTCAGGGCTTAGTATGCTTTACCCTTACTGTTCTAGATGGCAGTCATGCTTTGGAGACCCATTTTCATTGTTGTAATTAATTCTGTGTTTTTTTGTTTGTTTTTTTGTGGAAATCATCAGATGTGGCATAGCTGTAATCAATGGGAAAGTTTATGCCGTCGGAGGTTTTAATGGCTCTTTACGTGTACGTACTGTGGATGTTTATGACCCCACTCGAGATTCTTGGTCTTCCTGTGCCAGTATGGAAGCACGACGATCAACACTGGGTGTAGCAACTCTTAACAGCTGTATATATGCCGTAAGTGTTAAACTCCTCCCTTCATAGGTTCTTGCTTGTAACTGGATATGAGAAAGATAATTAAAAAGGACTGATAAGCTGTTGTTCTGAGAGGTAAATTTTTCAGGTGGGTGGATTTGATGGTTCTACTGGTCTGAACAGTGCAGAGATGTACGACTCAAAAGCTTATGAATGGCGGATGATTGCCCCAATGTCAACTCGGCGGTCATCAGTTGGAGTAGGAGTTGTGAGCGGGCTTCTCTATGCAGTAAGTCTGCCTTTAAATTAAGAGTTGTTCGTTTTTTTTCTCTCTCTCTCTGTTATATACCACAAGTTTTCTATATCCCACTGTCACCACTTTAACAACTGAAGAGCAAACAAAGATGCTTTCTTCACTTGCTGTCATCCTTTTACTTTTACTGCTGTAACTTCACCGTAAACCTATCAAAGTCATGTTCTGTTATCATTCTTGCACACCAATGCTTCCTGGGTTTCCATTTCCCTCATTTTAGTATGTTCTTTGTCCCAACCTTACATCTCCTTGGTCTTCCCATTTTCCTCTGGATAATATACTCTCTTTTTTTTTATCTTCAGCTAACTTTCCCACAATATGCCCATATCACCTTGTCAAACACCAATCAGCTCTCAGTCTAACAATGATTTCATTTCCATTTCTAATTTCTGTATTAATTGTTTTCTACATATTATTCACCCCACGTGTAGTTTCCAGTCATGTCATTTCTCTTACATTTAGTATACATCTTTTACCTGTATGTCTTCTTTCCACTACTCATACTTTCGCCATTGTACCTCCATAAAAAATATAATAATTATTTTTCTTTGCCTCCTGTCTATCTGTATTCATTGCTTTATTTCACCTAACTTTTGCTCACATTTATAATTGAATATCTCTAAATATACAGTCTTACACACACACACACACACACACACACACACACACACACACACACACACACACACACACACACACACACTCACACACACACACACACTGATTAACCCTTGTATCTTCTCTTACTAATCTCCCAACAGAGCTGTGTCATCTGTAAACAGCAGTGGACTCGCCTCCCATTTGTATCTCGTATCCCTCTTTACCAAACTTTTTCACCTCACCTTTTCTCTTGCTTTTGCTGTTACTACCTCTCTCAGGAAAATATTGAACATCATAGCAACATTACTTAGTCCTATGCAACTGAAACCTATCATTCCCTTTCTAACACATGTTGCTTTTACTAAAACAAAAAAATAAAAAAAAATAACAAACAAAAAAACTCTAAATGGTACAATGTAATTAAGTAACTTCATTTGCTGCACCTTTGGGTGGGTAAGTACTTATCTCCTGATGCTCAGCATTCAGAATTTGGGGTTACTGCACCCCCTTGACAAGATGCTATAGTCCACTGAAGGGTTCTTCCACCTTTGGCAAGGGGACCCGATATTGTGCTTGTGTCGTTGCTGAGTGCACTAAGGCTTGTTTTCAAGGAAGAAACCCAGTCCTCCTTTCTGGTTGAGAATTAAACCTATAACCATTTTCTTCTCAAACACTTTATCACTACTCAATAGGATTTATAATTACATTTTTACAATTTAAGGTTGGAGGATATGATGGAGCATCACGGCAGTGTTTGGCATCAGTAGAATGTTACAGTCCAGATTCTGATGTGTGGTCATCAGTATCAGAGATGTCAGCACGCAGGAGTGGCGCAGGTCAGTAATTTAGACAATACACTATAGCACATACAGTAGTCCCTCACCAACTACAGGAGCTAGGTCCTAGAATTTTTCCAGTTGGCAAAAACGTGGATGACAAGGACTGGGTCTAATGGAAAATAAGGGTTACGGGGAGTGACCCATGAGAGACATGCCTACAATTCTATGGTGTAAAACCCAAGGGTAATTATAAGCACAGTTAGGTCCTACTGAGCAAGAATTTAGTTTAATGATCATAGTGTTTTAGGGTAAGAAAAAAAATAGTAAGTCCTCTGTTAACGTCGTGGTTATGTTCTTGTAAAATGCAAAGTTATGTGAAACGACGTTAAATGAATCAATGTCTCCCATAGGAACCATAAAAAATAAGTAGGTTACATTCCCAGCCTCTCTTTTCCCCTATAATATGTTTCACAATTAAGACAATGTAAACAGATTGTAAATACAGGTATACTTCGGTAACCGATGCATGTGCAGATTACAAAATGTCAACAGATAGGGAATCAATGGTTTTTAAAGCAATAAATCCCATAAGAATATAAAAAATTTGGGAGGATAGGGACCAGCCACCCCCCAAAACACTCCCTTCTCCCCTTGATTAATCTCTGTCGTTCAGATTGTCAAGCAAGAAAAAAAAGCAAACATAATAAGCATAAATTAAGGAATGTCAGCATAAGTTGAGACCTATTCACCAGTGTTGAAGCGTTGAGTCCATGTAGAGTCGTCGTTCCTCCCCTCACCCAGCCCCTCTGGTTGAAGGACTGTCTGATGCTTTGGCCACTGTTTCTGCCCTTAAGAGTTTTGAAAGATTTCCCCACACATTTCAAAAACAATTACGAGCTACTGGAAATTTCTGTGGGCTAACGGAACATTTTTAGATTCAGCGAGCCTGCCAACTTGTGCCCATAAGCCTGTTCTATATGGTTACTGGAGAAATACAGTCAACTGCAGACATAATAAATGGCTTCTCTCTCTATCATTTTTATGGGGGGTTACTATGTTGTGGCAGGGAGGAGGGAGAGAAGATGAAGTGAGGCACCACGTTTGATGCAATGTATCCTTTTATTATCAAGTCAATACAAATTATTTGTTATATTTTTATGATACTGACTGTTATTTTCTGTTATCAACACAGTGTTGTCATCTCCCAGAGAGATAACACACTGTGCCGTTATCTCCCAGAGAGATAACACACTGTGCCGTTATCTCCCAGAGAGATAACAACACACTGTGCCGTTATCTCCCAGAGAGATAACACACTGTGCCGTTATCTCCCAGAGAGATAACAACACACTGTGCCGTTATCTCCCAGAGAGATAACAACACACTGTGCCGTTATCCCCCAGAGAGATCACGACACACTGTGTCAGCATTGTTAAGCCACTGTACCCACACTTGGTGGTAAAAAGTACCAAGAAATTCACACCAAATAAATTATAATTTCTGTGATTTATTTTTCATGGCATAATTATATACAGTACAGTGACCCCTCGGTTAACGAACTCAATCCATTCCAGAAGGTCGTTCGTTAACCGAAAAGTTCGTTAACCGAAACCATTGTTTCAATGGGTTTTTGGGTAATTGGTTCCAGCTCACCGAAAATTTCCTAAATTCAACAAAAATGGTAGAAAATTTCACTTACTTTGAGGTGTGTATGTAGAAGGCTCCTGGATGATGATGATGGGATTTAGAATGGGGGTGGAGGAGAAGGAAGAAGAGAAGGCATTGGGGTGGAAGAGAAGTCGCCCCATGGCGCCATTTCACCCATAAAATTTTAGCTCTCTTGGTGTAATTCAAGATTATTTTCTTTAAATCAACACTGCACTGCATTATATATTGTTAATATGTAAAATATATTTCAAAATGACCAATAATTTGCTTGGAAGCACAGAAAAAAAGCATTTAGTTGAAGAGAGTCTCAAGCAAGATGTTACCTCCAGTGAAAACAGAGAGAGACTAACTCCTGTTTGCTGTGTTAAGAGGCTGGATGCTGCACATTAAACTAGTCACTTTACCTTCAATTATGTTCAATAATTGTTAAAATGACTAAAAAATTGAATATTAAACTTTTAAAATTATTGAATAGTATAAACTTCTTGATATTTACTAAAATAGTAAGGAATTTAAGCCCTAGAACCGTTTAATGTATTGGCGGACTGATACTAAAGCTGGTTTCCCAGTCAGTGCAAGCGAAAACATGTTGAGGTCTGCTCACAGTGCATTGTGGGTGCGATGTCAGCTTAAGGATGCCTAAAAGTAGACAGGAAAGTGAAAATGTACAGTGTAATTCCAATATCAGTACTGTACCGCATGTCAAACTAGTAATATGAAGACTACTGTACAGGTATAGCTGTTTTAGGTTAATTGAATTAAATTGTTAAAACTTCCTCTAAGTGTACTGTACTCACCATGTGTTGTAATTACATTTGTCCTCTGAGCAGTAGCCAATGCACACAAACTGCCAGTCAGGCCAGTCCAACATTATTATCTTCTTATCCTTTACTCATGTGCTAATTAATATGAAGCTCAAGTGTTCATAAATGAACAGGTAGCTTAAAAATATATATAGGTATATATATATATATATATATATATATATATATATATATATATATATATATATATATATATATATATATATATATATATATATATATATATATATATATATATATATATATTTATTTATTTATTTATTTATTTATTTATTTATTTATTTATTTATTTATTTTGATGTATACGGTACAGGGGTAGGAGTGCTGGATGGTCTCCTGTATGCTGTTGGGGGTCATGATGGTCCACTGGTGAGGAAGAGTGTAGAAGTTTATAATCCTGACACCAACAGATGGAACCCCGTTGCTGACATGAACCTTTGTCGTAGGAATGCAGGTAAGTCTTTCTATTGTGTAGGTTTCCTCCAAGCTAACTACAGTATGCCCTTCAAATTTGCGGGGGTTTGGCTCTCAAAATGTCCGCGAATCGCCAAATCCACGAATAACATTTGCTGACTTGGGGAGAGGGGGTTACATATTTACTTGTGTACAAAGAAATGTATATTCTCTTTGTGTTTGGCATTAGGACAATTATTTCTTTTACCTGTATTGTATATATATGTGTGTGTGTGTAGACACCCACACACAAAACACATACAAATAAATATTAATGGGAAAGTCCTCTCACAAATAATCAGAAAAAAAATAAAAGTAAAAAGGTTAAGTTTTTCCTCAAGTCTTCTCCATGCTCTATTAATAACAAAACATGGAATGGAGTTAAGGGTAGACTCAACATTTTTAATAAAAAAGATTATAATTATTTGTGAGAGGATTTTCCCATTATTATTTATTTGTATGTGTTTTGTGTGTCTCCACACATGTGTATAGTTAGGGTCAAAAGTCTTGAACACTTTGCAATATCTGGCATCTATTTATACATATATGATTGGGATATACTAATAACACTACTTGTCATCACACATTATGCCTGAACCACAAAATGGGATAAAACTCTCCTTAATACCTAAGATCTTCGGGTAGTTACATGCCACATACTGTCAAGTGTTCAAAACTCTTGACCCTGACTGCACAATACAGGTAAAGGAAATAACTGTCTCTAGAACGAATGGCTCCCTGTCCCGACCACGAAAATGCCAGCAACTTTAAAACTACCCTTAGACATTCTTGGGTACATCCAGAGTGTCATCCGCGAATAATAGAGGACCTCAAAATAAAAATCCGCAAATTATCCGGGCTTACTGTACTGTATTGTGAAGGTTCCCTCAAGCTAACTGCGTTAAACCACGTTTTAATCGTGAATCCCCATTCTCATAAGGATTAATTGTGTTGCTCGTATTTTTTCGGTTGCCATATCTGTGAATGAGTTGTCACATTCTGAAGCAATATTTATCTCCACATCCATGGCTTATTTTTGGGTGAATGTGATAAATGGCTTTAAGACAAAATCATTAAAATGTGAAATCAAGAAAATTGATAAAAAGTGAAATACTTTGTTAAGCAGGTTAGAGCATGGACTGTTACTCTGAGCAAAGGCTATTAGTATAAGAGATGCTCCTAGTACTGAGATTATATTATAGAAATACCAGAGATTACACTTTCAAGTAGTTCACGTCATGACCACAAATTAAGCTGATGCATAACATCTTTTCATTACTTAATGTAAATCTGTGGAACAGCTTAATTGAAAAAGTTGTCAATTCTCTAAAAATGGTGATTGGAGAAATTGGAAAAACACAACTTTGAATGGTGCAGTATATTTCATGTAAAACCATCAGTTTTTTTGCTCTGGTACTGTATCATGTAATGGAAACAAAAAGATCACATGGTTAAAGTAAATTCTTCCCCATATCGTTCTTGGATATATGATATACATTGAAAATTATATAAGCTCTCTTTCCCTCTCTCTCTTCCCATAAAGAGTCAAAATCTATTCTTTGTTTGCTGGATGTTAGGAAAAATTGTGCTAGTAGATCAAGTTTGTGGATAACCATGGAAAAGGTAGATCTAGTCGCACAAAAGTCTGGCCACCTCTGGCTTAGGTCATATGTCGCTGAATTAAAATAAAGGATTAAAAGACTAAAATCAAATAATGGAAGGTAAAATAACTAAGTAATAATTAACATAGAACTTTCTTTTAGTACTGCATTGTATTTAGTAACATTTAAATTTTGATTGGGACAGATAACATAAAAGTACCATTTTTTTATTTATTTTTTTTATTTTTTTTTATTTTTTTTCAGGTGTCCCCCATATTCATAAAATCTTGTAATTTGTAATGATTAGAGCTCCCATTATTTCGAAATGGGGTTTTTACTGTAGTTTTAATAACTGTGAAAAATAAATTGTACATCTCACGTTTTGTTTAGAAGAAGTGCATAATTATAATCTTGGAACAATAAATGACATCACCTGAACATGAAAAGTATACAACTAATAAAGTAAATGTTTGTAATATTTGAAAGTTACATCACCTGCCCAATGTTACATCACCTGCCATGCTATAGATCCTTCTCTATGGAAAATAGGAAATCTGTTTCCATCATTTTCATCGCTGTCAAATTTGCAAGAACAGTTTGTCTCTAGGAATTTATAGTTGTCTGGAATTTCATAACCAGGCCTATTTTGAGGAATTGGAGGGCACTCAATTGCAACCATCGGAATGTATTCTCAAACAACTTATTCATTCATTGAGCTACTACCTGTACAGCCAGCACTGATTATGGAACACTATAATATATATTTTTTTGCACTTGTAAATTATTTCATGGAGTGAAATGTGTGGGGAGAGAAAATACTGGGAGTAAAATTATTATGAGTGAGATGACCGCTCACTGATATCATGTTGGGGGGCAGTGTTTAAGGGGGCTAATAAGTACTGACCATAGGTTAGGAATAAGGGCTGATGCATAATAATTAATTTAATTATCTTCTCTTCACATTATTAAACAAATGTAAAATTGCAGGTGTGATTGCCCTCAATGGGTTGCTCTATGTAGTTGGCGGAGACGATGGTACCTCCAACTTAGCATCAGTGGAGGTCTTCAACCCAAAAACAGACGTGTGGACTCTACTGCCGGCACACATGGGCATTGGCAGATCCTATGCAGGTGTAGCTATTATTGATAAACCGGGTTTCTGAGACGAGGCAGAGGGTGCAGGGGAGTGACTTCTGTGATTATTGATATATACAGTACAGTATACCCAGTGGACTACACTAGAATAATTTGGGTACTCTTAAGTTAGTTCATGGTAAATTAAGTTCTATATTGCCATCCACTTAAGGTTTATTATTCACAGAATCGTGGACAGTATAAAACATATCTGATATGCTAGCAGCCTTAAGTTAATGGTTATAATTTTTTGCATCCTATTATACATCATTGGTGTTACGAGCTGAAGATGGTTATTGGTGCCATTATTTATTATTTCTGAGAGTTATAAAATGGTAATGGTTTAGAATAGAAAACTAAATTGTTTAAAGGGAATACAGTATAGCTAAAAAAAATATTAGTTTTTTTTTTTTACTTTTACATGAAAAATGGTACAACAGAGTAAATTATATGATCAAAATAATCTATCATTTTGTATCAGTAAGCATATTTTTAATATACAGTACAGTACAATATTTTTACATAAAAAATCAGTTTGGAAGTACATCAGAATATGAATAATTCTTTCAACATGGGACCAGAACTTTGATAAATAAAAGTAGTTGATTAATTGGCTTGTAGAGTAATATACTTTGATCCCTAACTTTCTAGGCCCCTGTAATATTTAAACATACTGTATGAACCTTCTGATGATGTCCTTTTCGGAATGATTTGTAAGACCTGAATCAGACACATTGTTCCGAGCTCTCTCACTCAAAAGATCATCATGTACAAGGTTGACAGTCAATGTTGTTTTACTTGAGTAATAAACTGTACTTTTTTTGCTGACTCCCACTCATTTCATGTTATTTGCTTCTTTTTATGTTGCTTATAATTTAAAGGATCTAATATTTTTAATATATTGTCTGAATTGCAATGTCAGTAGTGTATTAGCTCAAGCACATTTTGTAAAGAGAGTTTGGGATAGTGCTTGCTTCAGTATCAGATTTGCCCTGGTATAACTTACCCATGGTCAAAAAAATCCCTGATTTTGCCTTTGACCCCTGCTTTTGGTTTTAGGGAATAAATTTATATTACTTTGCCAAGTTATATATATATATATATATATATATATATATATATATATATATATATATATATATATATATATATATATATATATATATATATATATATATATATATATATATATATATATATATATATATTAGGAATGTGATTGAATTGACATGTACAGCAAGGTTCCCCAAACAGGCTCTCGTTGCAAAGCAGTGGTCATAATAATAATACATAAATTACGATGAAGATCCAAATTAAAAAATCCTGCATTTAAAATGAAGATATGAATCAGTATGGGTGATATCTACTTGTTGTCTTAGCTCTTCCTATTACTTTCTGCACTTGTCTATCATCACTCTCCCCTGTTTTTTGCCCCCTTTGAGGTTTCCATAACCCATGATCCACCCCACAAAAAAGATTAGATAAAAGTAAAGTTGATAGAAAATTTGGCTCAAATAGTTGGTGCACAATATTTGTATCGAGTATCTTGAGAATTTATTATAAGCAGGAAGAGTTCTGATGTCATGGCCACCCCCATCAGTTATTCAAATACTGTAGGAAAGATGAAACCAGACTAGGCTAAGCCAGTGAAAAGACAACTGGGCGTTGTTGATAGGCCCAACCTAACTTAAATCATTTGGGATGGAGCCCTGTCTTAAAGGACCTCAGTCATAATGATTTGGTTGGTGTCCAATAGGACTAAGGCCAATTTAGCATGGAACAGACTACCTGTGTTTGTTTAACCTTTAGTTAAGAGAACCAACAAGGTAAAGAGAACTGTAGTTTTAACAAAGAAATGCCAACTTTATAGTGAATTATCAAAACTTTTTGTAAAATAATGTATTCTTAATATATTGCTGTTTTCTTAATAAATTGCCGTACTGTGATAAAGCATTAGATATGCTGATAAACTTAGTTTTGTCTGTAGTTTTGTGTGTGTGTGAAATGGTCAGCATGTTCGCCTCGCTAGCGAGCGGACCCGTGTTCGATCCTCGGGCAGGGTGAAACTATGGGCAAGTTTATTTACGCCATTTGCCTCTGTCTGCCCAGCAGTAATTGGGGACCTGGATGTTAATCGATTTGCGGATCGTATTCTGGGGTAATGATTAGCCAGTGCAGTTGGCGAGTTGTCCGGTCATCTCGGACTATTCCTTGACACTGGGTCATGCAGCTCGTTAACTCAAGGTGTGGTTGTTGTGTTGGCGACAGCTTCTATACCATAAAAAAATCCAAGCCTAGGTGGCCCTAGGTCCGGCCATCCTCGTAATACGAGGGGCAACCATTATGTGTGTGTGTGTGTGCGCACACATACACAATGAACTTACAAATCAACCTGTCTCATTATAGTACTGTATGCCAAAATGGCTGTAGTTCATACTTTTTCATCAACATTAAATAAAGAAAATCAAGATTTTATTACTGAATATTTTTTAGTCTGTATGCATAATAAACAAAATATAAAAACTTTGAAACTTATTATCTTATAAGATTAAATATATTTATACTTATATTTGTTCAGCTGCGGTACTGTTAAACTAATGCATGGGGCCAAGATACTAGGGGGAGGAGGAAGCTGGGGAGTGGCAGAAAGTAACTGAGAGGCATATTGAGGTGTGGGTAGTGAGAGATCTAAAGGAACACTTGATGTACTATGTTCTTGGCATGCAATTTAAAAAATGGCTGCTCTCATAAAAGTGGCCTCATATGAAGGACGTTACATGTATGTTTGTTGGTCTTTGTACCTATTTGTCACACACCCCATGGCTGCATTTGTTTAAAACCTGTGTGCCACACCGTGATGAGGTTGGGTGGGCAAGTTCCTTGTGAAACACCAGTGATGCTGGTGGCCCACTGTCTTTTAACCTCCATGTAGAGCAGACGGTGTCGTGTACCACTTGGGTTACATCACTGGACCAGGATACACACGCCCACACACACATTAAAACCTTCTTAATCTGGACTAATTTGGGGAGAAATCCAATTCATGTTAAGCAAATTTTCAGATAAAGTGAGTTCCGGAGGGGGTTTATTTTATTCCACAAAAAAAGTATGGATTGACCGAGAAAAATCTGGATGAAATATCTGGATTGCTATCTGGCGCACATGAATGCCAGACCCAGCTGCATTGTTTACAAACCACCTGTACTGCTACAGCTCTTTTGTATGCATCTCTTGCCTCCTGTGGACTGTTTGTGACTTTGTGGACTAATTACCATGACTTCCAAAGGCAAGACCACTTCAAAAGGAAGTCAGAATAGGGCCAGAAAGGAGTTTAGTTTGAAGGACAAGCTAGCAGTTCTGGAAGATCATGAGAAAGGTGTGTCTGCAAAAGTTTTGATGGAGAAATATGACTTGAAAAAATTAACCATCAACAGCATCACCAACTTTGTGGTAAATACTGTACAAGAATTAAAACACCTCGATAAATATCGAAATTTGCTTTTTTCGGACCGAGTTAAAAAAAAAAAGACAATCTTATGAAGAGAACAGCACTTGCTCACTGAATACTGTACAATGGTTTAACCAGATTTACTGTTGGCCTAACAAGCAGGCTGGGACAGGAGAGGGTTGATCTGGCATTTATTCCACAGGTTTATTTATTGAGTTGTTATTATATTCTCATATTATCAGCCTCTTATGGTGTATGGTTCTTCATGATTAATATAAAATATTTGATAATAGAAAAAATTACAATACGGGGAGTCCCCGAGTTATTGGCGAGTTCCGTTCCCGAGGACGTTCTTAAGTCGGAAATGTACGCAAGTCAGAACTCATACTCAATGTGCACAATATCATGGCTTAAGTCCTTATATACATCTTGAATCACTTAATTTAAGCAAAAAGAAGAAATTGAATGACAAAATTCATTAAAGGAAAGTAAAAATTAAAAGTTTAATACTGACGTTGAAACCTTGGGGCTGGCTGATTTACCCATATAACTAATAATCTTTCCATTTCAATTAACAATCCACTTCTTAGTTTTGCTATCACAGTTGAGTGCATTGGTGTAGATCCTTTTACATGTTCAAGAATTTTGTGTTTGCCTTTCAATATTGTTCCGATGGTTGACCGACTGAAGCCCAACCCTTTACCAATGACTGAGGGTGTTTCACCTTTTCCAGAACGTTTAATTACATCAACTTTCACTTCCATTGTAATTGTTTTCCTTTTCTTGGTTGCACTACTATCACTTGCATCAGGTTTGGGAGCCATGATGAGGGCAGATAATAGTTAAAAGCAAAAGTTTGTACTTGATGACACACGTTACTGAGGTGAGGGTAAGGTGTACTGATGCTCCCTCAAGGCTGGGTGACTCACCTGCCTCTACACCACACAAGTTAGTTTGTGTATGTTAATACTATGAACTAGGTGTACCTATGTCTGATTCTTAAAATAATAGACCTTATGGGACCTCGTTCGTATCGGCGGGTGTTTGTAACTCGGGGACCCCCTGTATGTAATTTGTATTTTGGCTTGAAAATAAAATGATAAGCTGTATCAGAAGTTATTCACTCGGGATGTGTTCGTGTGAGAGCTTTCAGATAACCAGCTTACAACAGGGTTTATTATAACACACTGTATAGTATTTAATATGAAGATACCTTCCTAACAACGTTATTTACTGCCTTTAAGTGATACATTACGACTCGGTTTTGCTATTTGTACCCTTACATAACTGATTAATGAATACACCATGATATATACAGATGCATAATATTATACACTACAATATTACTTAAGTGCTGATAAATACATTACAGTACTGTATTAATTTACAAAGTGCTGAAGACACAACGTGTGGTAAACACGAGATGTGAAGGACCTAAGCCAATCAGCTGCTTGCCTTTTGTAAACTAATGACTTGTGGTGTTGAGTGTGGGAATCGTTTTTCAGGAATGTTGATTATTTTATGAACCCAACACCAAAGGAACGTAAATGATATGAGAATTATGGTGAAATTGCATAAAGATGTGTTAAAAAGATCTTGGAAGAGCGACCCATCCACCAGTGCTATCCCCCCCTCCCCCACCTGCTGATCCCAGATCACACTCATCTCCCACACACAATATACCTCTACCCTCTTATTTTTATTTTTATAGTACCTACATTACTGTATACAGTTTTCTCTTTATACACAAAACAAATTCTGTGGTTACTTACATGAAACACTTTACAATACATAACAATCATCGCGAAGAAAACAGTTGTTGACAACCAGACTTACCGTATATCTGATTTTCAACCCTGAGAGTTTTGATCATATTTTTATTGTTAGTGTAATGTTTTAATAACTTTGTTATGCATTTAAAGACCTTAGTTGTTGAAGCACAGTAATAACATTATGACAACACCTGATTTTCTTTAAATGGTCAGG